ATGCTCGCCCTTTCATTCTCAGTTAAGAAGAGGTCCTCATAGAGCTTGAATAAATCTTAACCATCAGTGTCGTACACAATTTCTCCTACGAATTTCGCAGTCAACCCGTCAACAAGAGCCCTTGCGACATTGTTCACGATATAATTGTTTGCGTGACCACTAACTGCCAAGTCAAAGATGAGATAAAGAGATCCTAGCACAAGGACAGCTCCGTCATCAAGCTTTGGAACTGGGACTCTAGGGACTTCACCTGGAGATGCCCTATTAGGGTTAAATGTTACTCTGTGAACTAAGCAGTCAGCCTTGAGGGCATTTGACGTCTTTTTTTCAAAATTTGGTTTGGTTTTTTTCACTGACTTCCATTTCAAAATAGATATTTTATTTAAAATGGCTGATTTTGGAGATACCGATCCTCTTTTTGAACACGATGACGATGATAATGAAGATGTAGGAAATACAACAACACCTTTTAAACCAGACTTTAATTCAAATCCAGGGCTATCAGGTGAAGACATTCCAATTAAGACAATGAACAGGGGACAAGAGAAAGCATCGGAAACTGCTGAAACATATTTCATTGAAGGTGATACTTCTTATTCGCGAGTCATCACTTCGGTTGCAAGCAAAGATGTTTGGCTAGGGCAAGAAGACATATCCCTTGTTTACTGAAGAAAAGAGTCTGAATAAGCAAAGGTTAAATACATCACTCCCAAAACAAATAAACACCTCACTTGGCCCAGAGCAAGAGGTTTTGATTTATTGAAATTGATGAGCTGCAGAAGTCTATTCAGGAGTATCGGGGAATTGCCAATGATGAAAGTGAAGACCAAGCTATAAGATAAAGAGCAAGAGAAAGATAACTGAAAATCAAGAGCGGATTGATGCACTTAAGAATAAAAGAGAACTTGAGGAAGGCACTTCACTAAGAGAGAGAGAGTGAGAAACATTTTCAAGACTTACGGTTTCAGTCTCAGCTGTTGTACTTAGTCGCAGTCGGAACTACGATTGGAGTGATTTTGAGCACATTGACAAGAAGCCTGAAGTCTGTTGCCAAAAGTGTTGGAGATGGGCTCAAGACTCTTGGAAGTAAGATCGCAGGAATTATGCTACGTCTCATCGGTTTAATGGTCGGCTTCATTTTCAAGACTTCTGGATCAGTGATCAGCTTTCTCGATCGAAATACATGGCTTTTGGGGCCCTGCTAAAGGCCTCCATCCCTCGGATCTCGGTCTGTTGATCTTTGATGAGCCCCCATTCATGTGCCTTACTCCGACTGATTCAATCTCCAAATTCACTGACTTGTTGTTTTCCAGCTTCATGTCAGAACTTGCCGTCTTCAGGCTGTTATTAAACCCAACCGTACTCTGAGTGTTAAGAGGAAGATTTGAGGGCATAAGTCAAGTGCCTAGTGAGACTGCAAGATCAAGCCTGACTTCTGCCTCATCAATGGCGAGCTGAAATCTCTGAACGCTCTTCTCTGGCTCTCTGATCACATCCTCAACCAATACAAGGAACTCACGTTGAGCTTCTTTTGCGCTTCCTGATGAACTTAAGATTAATGATCTGACATTGACTTGTGCACCGAGAGTGCAATAAACGAATACCTCAATCGACTGATTCAGTCTCGCCATCCCAGCTTGCCTTAGACCTTCTGACTTGTCTGCCAAGAAGAGGTCGAATTGCCTCTCAGCTTTCGCATTATCATTCCTTAGGAAGTAGATCAGATTGCCTTTGAGGGCTTCTCCGCCCCCATCACCGAGCTTGTTATAACTCGGATATGTGTCTGAAGTTGCTCAAGGATCAATATCTGTCACATAAATGAAAACAGATCAGACACCGTGATTATCAACTCCTTTGAAGCAGAAGTTCGCGTCTGATAAAATTACAAATTCAGCACATATTCGTTTGCACGATGGCGTGTCATAGCTATTATTTATCTGGCTAAAAGTTGAGTCACCTGGAAGAGCCGATTCACTCTGAATTCCACCCATCTCAGAAAGAATCCTTCTGACCATGAAGTAGATGTGAAACATTAGAAACGACTCTATCTGTTCTGGAACCTTATCGAGAACTTAACGAGATATTCCACAGCCTGTCGTTGCGCACCATACTGCGATAGTACTGATTTGGGGTAACAAAGATCTCAATCTCCTCGTTGAAGCGGCAGACAGCATTCTCATTAAATAGAACAGCCGGCACTTCCTTCTTTCCAATTCGATTTAGAGTGATTTCAAGGGGAAAACCTCCAATTCCAAGAGCCTTCTTCATGTCATCATCCCAATATCTTCCATCTGACCTCGAGACGCTCGTCTGAACTCCGTCGAATCGATTTAAGTATTCTTTAGCTGCTGCCTGTCTTTTATCATCCAACGACACTTGCGCACGAGCTTTCTCAGGTCTGTATTTGGATATCGTACTTCGAAATCATTCCAGGCTTTTATCTTTGCTTTATCTGCAATTTTGATCGCCTCATCTGATCTCAGCCACGCATACATTTGTGTTGCTTTTATAATAAAAATGGTTGTTTTGACAATGATTGCAGATTCCAATGATCACAAGGCTCGCTTCAGAGAACCTCTCGATAAATCAGACTATATCAGACTTTTGACTTGTTCTCTCCATAATTCATGGTATAATTTGAGGGAAAAAGGAGAAATATCTATCCTCGATAGACAAGACAACGCAAGTGTTGAAACGATTCCTTCAATGCACTCTTGAGAGCCTCGCGAGAGCATTGGGAAAATATTAAGTGAAGATAGAGGATTTAAAGTCACAATGAATCATTCAAAAGAAGGAATGTTAATCCTTAATCTCTACAAAAAGAAAGTTAACCTTGGGATTGATCAACATTTGCAGAGAAGAGTCTCATCAGCCGATTTACTTCATTCAACACTTACCTGGTCCACAATGATCTTTTGGACAAGGATGAAAACCTAATAAATGGGGAACCCTCAAGCGTTCTTGGTTGCTTTGACATTGTTGAGAGCAAGTTTGAAAAGGTAAATTATTCCTTGCCTAATCCTGTGTTACGAAAAATAACACCCAGGAATGATACCACAGCCATACGAATTTTCGTCACTGTTGAGAATAGCGATATAATCCGTTTAAATTGTCAAATGAAGGTTAGGATGGTACTCTCGTGTGAGGTGGTGAGATATAATGAAGATGATTCAGTCCAGCTACAGGATGCATTTTTCCACTACGAAGTAATCGAAAATCTCAGGTCAACAGATGAATCACACGTATTCGATGTTGTCATGCAAACATTTGACGCAAGAATTCAGAATTTTAATAAAAGAGGAAGCAACTGCAGATTTCAAAGAGTGATATCTCTCGACATCTATCTTGCGGAATTCAGACCGTTGAACGGCAGCTCTTACATCAAACTCCCAGAATATATTCAAAAGAAGAAAGCAGCAATAAATATCAAGAACAAAGATAATTAATGCTTCAAGTGGTGTATAGCATGAGCACTTAACCGTCTCAAGTCAAACTCTGAGAGGATTTCAGAATGTGTTTGGTCTTGATGGCGCAAAAGTCCATCTTCTCAGGATCAGTGAGAAGAATATCAGAGAAGAGGAAGGAAAACTGATCATTGATCTTCGTTTAATAGAAGAAGAAGGTAATCAGCATTACTGCTTGATCAAAAACATCAGCAGGTTACTCTCGAAACAAGTCAGAAAGCACGATGGTTCATTGTTCTTCTGCCGAAGATGTTTGAGTCACTTTCCAAATCGAAAAAAATTAGCAATTCATGATCTATACTGCTCAAAGATGTTTGAGTCACTTTCCAAATAAAGAAAAATTAGCAATTCACGATCTATACTGCTCAAACAATGAAGCAATACGTCTGATCGTGATGCCGGAAGTAAATGGTAAAGGAATAATACCGTATATCAAATTCAAGAATTACAATCGTTTTATGAGAGTTCCATTCGTAATTTATGTTGAATTTGAATCATTAACAGACCCGATTGACACATGCGAGCTCAGTAGTGATAAGAGCTTCACTAAGCAGTATCAAAAGCAAAAAACCACGTAGGTTCTGCTTTCACATCGGTTTGCTTCGATGATAAGCGTTATTCTCAAGAGCCAATCATCTACAGAGCAAACAACAGGGATGAAGATGTTGGTCAGATCTTCGTTGAAATGATTGAAGAAAACATCAAGAAGGTTTATGAGAAATTCGACTTTAGCAAGGAGATGATCTTCAAGGATGAAGATAAGCATGAGTTCAACGATGCTACATACTGCTGGATCTGTAAGCGTTTATTTGACGATGACAATGACAAAGTTAGGGACCACAGCCATTTCACAGGGAAGTATCGTGAAGTTCACTCCTGTCATCTTTCACAACTTGGCTGGTTATGACTCTCATCTATTCGTTAAGAATTTCGGTAACCCTTCCGTCTGGTCGTGTAGCGGCAAAAACAAAGGAAACATCAAATGTATTCCAAATAACGAGGAAGAATTTTATCACTTTTAACAAAGATGGCATTGTTGGCTCTTTCATCAACAAAGAAGGTAAAGGATAAGGAAAAGAATAGTATTGGTGAAGAAACTGAACGGGACGGAACGGGTGAAGAGGCTTCCAGAAGTCGTGTTGACTTTGACTGGTGAAGTGAAAATATTGATTGGAAAGAAAGCTTTGAATGCCATCAAAGTCACGTCGGTTGACGCAGAGAGTTAAACAATTTAATAAAGGCGTGTTTGCCTGAAGGAAAAGAGACACGACTCCTCAAATAATGTGCGATATTTCTTTGCCACTGGTGAGCTGGAAGGTGGTCAGAGGCGAGCCACAGATCCAATCTGGTCTCTGAAGGTCTTCAATATCGAAAAGTCACTTGTGAATAAAGGCGAGCCTGTTCTCTACCATCTGAAAGATGGACCAAAGCGTGGTTTCGTCAGAAAGGAGCTTCAGAATGTTCCTCCTGGAACTGAGTTGCCTCCCGAAGGAATTCTTTGATTTGAAAAAAACCATTAAAAGAAGGCGATTGTCAATGGAATCCCAAATAAGGTTCACAGTCAAGGAATGGAGACAAAAGATATGTGGGAAGAAGTCTTCAGAAGATTTGAAAAAGGAAAAGGGCGCGATGAATACAGCAGACGTTTATGGTAGAAACAGATTCACTTTCTTCATCGATCTCAGGAGTATGAGAGACAGTGACCTTAATGGGAGTGGATTGAGATTGGTAAATACACGAAAGAAGGAATTTAGCTTGCAATCAACAGGAAGGCGTGGGGTCCGGGGAATGTTATAAGCCACACCTTTTTCCTCTCAGATGCCCTGCTCAACATCGTCAACCGTCAGCTTGAAAGCGTGACCTATTAATGCGACCTCATTTATGATCGCACTGTTATGACAGAAGAGCAGATTAAGGCACACCACGACTTTCTTGCGAGAAGATACAAGATTGATGCTGATCCTGTCGAACGATTAAATGTGTTCTGATACTGAAGATTGACGGGTTAATATGTCATAATTTTTTGAAAAAATTATGACATGAGATTTCCGCGCATGTCTCAGTGAGTAGATGTATAATGACAATAGTTCTGGCCATAGAGACGAACCCAAGTCCCACCCTAAGTTTCCTTACAGGCGAGGAGATATCTGCGCAAATGCCTTGTTGTCTATTCAACACCATGTATATAAGTACCTTGACAATTCGCTCATTTACAATGGCTTTCAGCAAAGCGTTCGATTCTGTGAATCGTAGTATGTTATCTGCTAGACTGAAGCAGCTAAGCTCAGCTACAGCTGAACCCCTACATTTTTTATTAGTACCACGACTTCTTGCATCCAAGACAACCGTGCATTTCCTGTAACATCTATTTTTGTGATTGGAAGGCTGTCAATAAGGAAACCAGTCAAGGAAGTGTAAGTGGTCCACATATTTTTCAATGATTTAGACGTCTTTTATAGTGGTACTATGGCCCCTTTTCAAATATGCAGACGACTCTACCATAATCTCTTCTGTTGACAACAAATACAATTCTTTTGTAAGCCTAGTCGAACGGTTTTTGACATGGTTCAAAGAGAAAAAGATGTCTTACATTCCATGTGAATGTACGGAACAAATTGTAAGGAAGAAAATCAGCAGTATGCTGCTGATTTTCTTCCTTACAATTTGCAAACTGACTGCTATAGCAGTCAGTTTGATCCAATATATGACTCCCCAATAAAGTAATCTAAACTTGTTTTGTTAGATCTATTCTAAGTACCTAGTAACCAAGACCGTAGAATTATTAAGAAAGTAAGCTCCCGAGAGAACCATCCACTCAGCGAAAACAACCCCTTCTAAAAAGGAGTGTTCTTTCAACCCCCTTCTTCCCTTGCCTCTGGCAAGTGGGCTGTTCCGCCAAAAAAATGCTTTGAATCTTTGCTCAAGATCTTTTACTGTTACATCCCAAGATACTGAACGCCTTTCTAGTTCTGTCAGTCAGAGACAGTCAGTCTCATGAACAGAGAAAGCTACGCTGTCAGTAGAAGAGTCAAAAGTGACAGCAATATTAACTGTGACAGGGACAGATACAGTATCAATGACAATGTCTGTGGGGGAAACAAAGACACTGAAATTAAAATGAATATGAAAGCAATCTTCGAAATTGAAGGCAATCGTGAAAATAAGGCCGGAAAAAACCTCATAATTTGAACCCATGACCTCTGCTATACTACTACAATGCTCTACCAACTGAGCAAACAAGCCAACTGGGAGCTGGTCATTACAGTATGTTGGTTTGTAATAAGCTTGTGAAGTGACGAATCAATGCCTGTATGAAAATCATATATTTGAACTTTGGATAAAGAAATGAATATGAAAGTGATCTTCACCATAATGAACACTACTTAAGCAGTAGTGAAAGTAACAGTAGTAGTGACACTGATACTGACAGTGAAAGTGGTGGGGACAGTGTCAACGAAGCAACCATAACAAAGATAGAAAATGCTGCATTGAAAGTGACAGAGACAGTGACAGTGACAGAGAAGGACACATAGACAGTCATGAGGACAGAGACAGTTACAGGGACAAAGACAGCAAAGGAGCCAATGAAAATGAGACCAGTAATGACAAGGACAACGAGAAAGACAGTGATTAAGACAGGAACATAGACAGCCACAAATGCAGTGACAGTGAAGTGTTAGGAACAGTGACATTGACTGTAACAAGAAGAGACAGTAACAATGAAGAAGCTGTGCCAAAGAGATTGTTGCAATGTAGGTGACAGTGCTAGAGACAGTGACAAAAACAGAGACAGACACAGGGACAGAAATCTTCTACAGGAACCTTAATTCTTCTGTGACATCAATATTAACATTGATGTTAAAAGTGACAGATAGAAACAGTGACACTGATATTGACAGAGACAGTGACATTGACAGTACAGAGTGAAAAGACTGTAGCAAAGAGAGCAAAAGGGAAAATGACACTGAGTGACACTGGGACATTGACAGTGACAGAGAAAGAAATAATGGAACTGCCAATGAATGAAAAATAGACACATTTACAGTAACAGTGCTGAAGAAAGTAACATTGACAGGGAGAGAGAAAGTGAAAATGATAGTGACAGTGACAGTATGGTGACAAAACAATCTTAATGAATTGACAGTTACCATGAGAGTAACCTGTGGAGACAAATGTAGTCTAAATAAAAATACATTGACAGTGTGTGATAGTGAAAGAAACAGTGACAGGAAAGGAAAATGACAGTAACAGCAGCAGACAATCACAGGGATAGAATTGGTGAAATTGAAAGTGACTGTAGCAGTGTCTGAGATGGAAAAAAAGAAAGTGATAGGGACAGTAATAGAGATAATGACAGAAACAGTAACCACTGCATTAATAGAGACAGCAACACAGGGCTTAACAAAGCATATATAACACAGAGAAAGATGAAGAGGCAAAAATGACATTGATAGTGACAGTAACAATAAGAAAGACATTAAAAGCGACTGCAAGAAAGATAGAGATAAATATAGTGATAGCGAGAGAGTTAGGGACACTGACAGAGACAATGAAATTAACAGAGACAGGAACAGGGAGATTGGTAGCGAAAGTGACAATGACAGTGACAATGTAATGACAGTGTGAGTGACAGGGGAGTTAGAGTGATAAAAAGAGATACAGTTAGTGTCTGTGGCAGTAGCCCATAGAAACAGAGACAAACACAGTGACAGTGGCAGAGGCACTGACAGAGAAAGAGACAGTGACAGTGAGAGTGACTGGGACACTAGCAGTCACAATAACATTGTAACAGTGGCACTGAAAGTGACAGGAACATCAGCGATGTCAACAGTGTCAGTGATTCAGTCAGTTAGTAACAGTGACAGAGACAGTAACTAAGATACAGTTATAGCGAGTTAGCATACAGTTAGCATTGAGACCGTGGGAGTTACAGTAATGGAGACAGTGGTAGGGACAGTAACACAATCAGTGACAGTGGTGACAATGACGGTAAGAGAGACAGTGACAGTGAGAGGGACTATGACAGCTACAGTGTTAGTATAATGACAGTGACAGAGGCAGTTACAACTACAGTGATGGTGAGTATAAAGGGATTGTGACAGTGGCAAGCTGATACTGGCAGAGACAGACATTAAAGAGACAGTGACAGTGATATAAGGACAATGATACTAGCAGTCACCAGGATGTTGAAAGTGACAGCCAGTTACATTTGCTTTGAAACAGATGGGAATAGTAACAGTACGAGACAGTGATAGTGAAAGTGAGACAGAGACATTGATAGTGACAATAACAGAGACAGCATGCGGAAATAATAATTCAATTACAGTGACACAAAAACAGAGTGACAGTGATGGTAACTGTGACAGAAACAATGACAGTGACAGTAAAAGTGACAGAGATGGAGACACTGGCAGGAACAAAAACAGTCAAAATAAAGTGACAGTGACAGGAAAAGCATCCGTGACAAGTAGAGAGAGTGACATTGAAAGTGACAGAGACACTGACAGATGCATGGACATAGATGGAGACAGAAACACTTATAATGACAGGGACTGTGACAAAGGCCATGACAGTGACATAAACAGTGGTGGTGATGGTGACAGAGATAGAGAGAGACATTGACAGTGGCAGTTACAGTTGCAATTAGAAACAGACATGGTGCCAGTTACCTAGACAGAAAGAAATGTAGATGGAAACAGAGGGTAGCTCAAAGGAAATCATCTAGAGTATATATTCATCAGTCCATGAGAGAAACTGAAAAATAGGGAGTTTTGCAGGAAGAAAGGTGACACTTAGAGATCAATTCATTTCCTCCATTTTTGGAATTACTGCATGGTTAATCAAGTCTCTCAACTGCTAATAAGTTGAAGCATGACCTGAAGAAGGAGTCAAAATGTCAGTCTTTAGCAAGTTAGTTGCTAGCAAAACTACAATGTTTTGAAGCTTGATTCTGTTGAATGAAACAATGATCTTTGTACAGTAGATGCACTCATTGCTTTCATATTCCCATTGTTTTACATTACTACAAAATGTAACTCCAAAACAATTTTCCTTGTCAAAGTTTTAAAGTATCTTAATTTCATCCAAAAAAATCCAGTCACCAGTCAGAAGTCCAGGAGACTTGTGTTTCCAAGGGTCAAGCATCTTCTATGTCAATAGATAACAAATCAAAGCCACTGCTTTGATTCTTCTTCACTTGTGCAAATATAACCTTTGTATTTTGGTCCAAGCCTTTAGATAAAGCATTTTCCATTCAGTTGGTATATCCCACTTTTGGTTCCAGGCCTTACATTTGGTAGTAGCATGTCAAAAATGGGTGCTACATAAACAAAACTCACTTAAAGCAGACAATTAAATGGTATTCATCTTGCTTTAAAGAAACTGCATGGAAAAATACTTTATTAGTATGGGTATGAAATTATGCAAGTCACTGGGTAGGAATTGTCCTAGCTGGATACATAATGACTGGGAACCAAATGACTGTGGCTACCAAAGACCATGAAACAACTGGTAAGCAGGAAGGAGCTAGCCCTCGTAGCTGGCTATTTTTAGGAATTTTCAGCTGCTGAAGGAAGGAGAGAATTTTCTTCACTAAAAGCTCTGCTTCCTGTCTTTTGTCTTGCTTTTCATGTGGTGCCCAAAAGGACACTAGAAACACAGGCCAAGTAGATGGAAAGACAACAAGGGAGTTAGAGAGGTTATAGCTGACTTCAAATATGCAATGAAAAGGTAAAAAATCTGTGGTTTAATAAGAAAGTTTTCAAATTGTTATGATGTGATACAATTGACATAGTCTGTCACCTTAAAACTAAGAGAAAGTACATTGTGTCTGGGCCATTTGGGTCCTGGCCTAAATAGGTTATCGAGTGAAAATGAACACTACAGAATGAGAATAGGGTACTGTGGGGAACAAGGCACTTCATTATCTGCTCAGTGATATAATTTTTTTAAATGTAAAGGGTTGTAAGGAAAACTTAGCAAAGTCAATAGGGTGGAAACTTGATGAGTGCTGTTACAGCTGTGACAATTTCATCCATGTCTTGAACTCCTGCAATGGTAAAGCAAAAGCATTTGTACATGACTCACAAATAACATTCTTATGGGCTTTAAAACATTAAATGGGGTAATTTTACTGAAGCTAAAGAACCTACCAACCTTATAATCTTCCCATTTTCCGACAAAAATGCTTCTGAATACAGTAAGGGGTTCAAAACCTTCAGTAAGTTGCCACCATAATTAAGAAACAGATAGTGCAAAAGGAAAAAACAACATTTTCAAACTAAAATTACAAAACTCTTTCAAATTCATATATGTTAATCTGCATGACATAAACAGCAAATTGGTGTCCCCCCAGTTTATGTAGTAGAAAATCAAGCAAACTATAACTATAAAATAAAAAAACAATTTAAACAAATACAAAAAAGAACCAAATAAGGATACATAATTATTTACATTTGTACAGACAGATGATTCTACATTCTGGTACAATTTCTCACAAAACAGTTACTCACTCAACAGCTTTTTCAACTCAGAAATCATTGATTGGAAAGCTGGGTAGAACTCATCATACTGATCCAAGCGTTTCATAATGCTAATGATGAACAAAAATACATAATGTGATCAAGTAGTCAAGGTTTTCAAATCAATGATTAAATAGCTGACTCTTGGAAGTAGCTATTTTATTGCAACTAAAACGGGTACTGTAGTGTGGCTGAGCAAATTGTAGAAAACAGACAAGTTGTCCAATTAGATTTTATCAGGATTAGAATTTTTTGGGAGAAAATTCATTTGCCTTAAATCATAGCCTACTTTTAAGCTCTCAGTTGGGGCAGAATTACAAACAGCAGCTGTTACCCAAACCTTGCCCTTTTTAATTACATGCCTGCTTTTTTTGCTCTTTTGTACTTACCAAGAACTTGGCACAGGCTATTTTGATCTCAGTTGCACACATGTATTTAAGTCTTTGACAAGTAAGAAAGATGGGTTTTGTATCTTCGATAATTAATTATGTTGAGTAGAGTTCCTTACATCTCGAATAAAGAACTAAGCTCACCAAGGTTGTACTAGACATGTTGGTCCCTGCAGTAAGCAGAAGTCATGCCACTTAAGATACAAATTTATCTGACGATGATTGATAAACTGCCAAAGCTTATTATAGGTTTTTGTATGCAAATAGATTTTGGTTTGCATCATCTTATCAGACAGAGTGAGGTTGGGCTAAATGGGGGAATATTTACCTCTAGGTCACGATGTATGAACCTTGTGGTGCTCATAATTATGTCTTGGTATTGGGCTAAGTATTTTCCTGCTCAGACCAACCTTAAACTCAGTCAATAAGCATTTTTCAAATGAATACTGCTCTTTCTGTATCTCCCTCTCTTCTTGCATTCATAACCTCCTAGATTCTAAGAGGAAGCCAGGGCCAATTTTAGAGGTAAATTCTTGAAACTTTTAGTTTGAAACAGTGGAGGAAATCCTCAAACCAAGTTTTTAAAAAATGAACAGTCAGGAAGATTAATACATCTAGAAATGGGCCCACAAAATTTTTTTTTCCCTGAAAGCAATCTCCTTCCTTTGGTTAAATGGCACAAATTGAACATGATAAAACAATATAGTGAGATATGTCAAATGAATAAGCAAATAAAATATTGACTACAAGCTGTCTTTCCTTTTTGGCAAAGTCTGACATTTGCTTAAACTAGAGCATCTATAGCACCTCAGGTGCTAGATGCTCTTATCACTGGCAAGTTTGTTCTCACAATTTTGCCAGCCTGCTTGTGAAAGAGCCTTACCTACCAGGTAAGCCTCTTTTGCAAAACTTTTTTTCATCTTAAAGCATGTGTTCTTCTAATTTCACAGCTTAGCAGCACTGTGGTAGAACAAGTTGGCAAACTCAGTGAACTTGGCCTTCCAGGGGTAAAGTTATCAGAAAAGGATGAAGACTGTATGAATGCTATTTCTGAAACAAATTACAAGCATACACATGGCAAAAGTTATTCCATGCTGGTTCCTTGACCAGCCTACCCTTCCTAATTATCTTCTTAGGAGTTTTGTCTGTGAGACTGATCTTACTGAAACATTTAACAGAACTTCAGTTTATTGTGCACCTCGAAATTTGAAATGGTTTAATTTTCCGATGTCACTCATGTTGCAATGACATGAAGATTGACTGGTAATTAAGGTGAGATATCTCATTGGCTATGCCTGATTGAGATTGAAATTTGACACCTGAAAACCACTCAGCAGTGCAAGGTCAACCTCTTGGACCTAGTCTGTAGTCCCTACTCTTCAAGCACCTTAATCATGGAGCTTCCCCAGTGCATCAATGTCACTCCAAGGGCTCTTGAGTGGCATTTTTTTCACTGTTTTCTTTTAACTTGCGCAATGGACTTCACTGAAAAGGAGGCACTGCTTATATAACCCTTAGCATGCAGTAAATTGAAACTTTTTAAAAAAACCCTTGGGTGAAGGCCATACATGATGATGTGAGCAGAGCACAAAAAGGTGCACGGTGAGGAGCACATTAAAAGAAGAAAGGAAAGAGAAAGAGCAGTGGTCATAATTAAAATACTCATTGACTCAGGATGAGGTGGATGGGGATGGACAGCTTATCAATGCATCAATCAACATCAGCTTTTCAAAATTTGTTTTTGCTACATCTTTGACTCCTAGTAGATCTTTTACCACCAACTCTGATATATTCATGTGAAGAACTGCATAACAAATGAATACAAGGAAGGAATATAAATGGCCTTGGCTTACTTAGGAAGGTCCTCGACTTTCAAGAGATGTCTAGCTTTACTCAGTTTAGAAACTGCATTCACTACATCAGAAGTTTTGCAAGTTGGATCTAGAGTAAAAAGAAAATGTCTGTTAAAACTGGCCTGTAACAGTTTACTAGTTGATGCAAGAGAGCACTGCCATATGGAAACATTCTACCAAATGTTGTGAATTGTCAGCCTTGAGGAACAGTTACTTGCCTTTGCATGCTTTCCCATGACAAATCAAAATATTTCCCTTAACCTAATCCAATGTTTGCAATGGCGTGCATTCAACCCAAACAGGAGAATCAAAGGGTCATACCTACCAAAAACTACATGACGTAGCCACAACAACAACAATAACAATAATAATAATAATAATAATAATAATAATAATAGTCATAACAATATATCAATTCTAGGATAACAAATCTTAAAAGCAGCAACATGCTGTTCTATTTAAAAGAATTTTATAACTTGGAATGGCCATAATCTGGACCATTTTATAGTTATCAAAGAGAGGCCACACCTCAATGGGATTCAGTTTAATCTAACTGGATAACACGAATCTAGCAGATTTTCAAAATTTAAATTTGGAGATTACATTTCACAGAATTCTTTGGTAAATAATCTCACCTAAGCCAAGAAATTCTCGCATATTATTCATTGCATTGCATGTTTCTCCAAGCCGCATATAGAGCTCATTCATTCGTGTAAATACTCCACTGACAGTGTTTAAGTCAAACAGCTTCTGAAAGTGAGCAACAATGCTTTTTAGATGATCCAGTGATATTTCTTCTGCAGTGTGAGTCTGTATCTCACTTGGGCTGACTCTAGTTTCAAGGCAAAGAAACTCAAGTGCCTCTTTGATTCTCTGTACTGTTAAAGGTCTGGTATCCTCCTCCTCAAACAATGTGTTTGATTTCCATGGCATCAAATTAAATGACAGTTGATTGATTGGTCCCTGAAGATCCTAAAAATACAATAAGAGATCACAACAGCTGTCAGAAGATGGTAGTCAGTTTCAAAATGTTGCTCTATTATTTAGCGTGATAACATTGACTGACTTTTTATTGTTGCTTATCACCTTCTCCATTGCAAATAACTTTCTATGCATTCAAATAGAGAGGGATCTTTTCAATGTTGCAGGAAAGTCTGCAAGTGTTTTGTCCCATCAAAAACTCCGTCAGTTTACAAGTATGATGCCATATGAAAAACATTTCTATGATATGAAGCTTGGATGCAAAATTTGACACCCAAGGTCTTGCAGAGGTCTTGCTTTTAAGTTATAGAGCCCTTGTACTGTGTTTAAAATAATGCAATCTGATCAGTGGAGGTGCACAACTTAGTGAGCTGTTATTTTTCTTTTTTGTTTGCAAAAAAATACATCCCTTTTTGTTGTCTTTGTGTGTTTAGATCTCTGAACAGCATGAAGCTTGTAAGGGATGTTTTGGGTTCTGTTTAGACCTCAGAGGCCTTAAAGCAAGTTGTTCCTTGTCAAGAATTTTAAGGGAAAGAGGGGTTTAAAGTAAGCTGTTGACATTTTCCTAAAAAATGTGTACCGGAAATTCATCTATCATTAGCTATAATATCTATAAAACCATGCATGCATGCCATAATGTCATCTTTCAAAGTCATGTTTCATGACCATAAAGTTCTTTTAAATCAAAACCATGAGAACAATATTATTATTGGCATCATTGTATGATGCAGAAAAAAAAACTCTTCATTTAAGCTCTAAACTCTCACAAATAGATTGGAAAGCAATTGTGTAGAATTTTTAATAGCTTACTTGAAGTCCTGTAAGTTGCGTAAGCCAGAGGTTCAGAGTTGGAACAATACACTGCCATGCCTTTTCACAGTGAGATTTATGTGAAGCACCATTTTGGTGCAGAATTTCAACTGATAAGTTAGGGGTATCCTTTGAGTTAATAATATCCATGATGTCTTGCATGATCTAGAATAAAAATTTCAAAATAACTGACATACCTGGCACACTCTCTTTAGTTGACAGGTGTGTTAATATAAGAGCATGCAGCTTTAGGCAAAGTTTCTTTGGTTTAGATTTTCTTATATTCTTGAGAACAATTCCTTAAAAAAACAAGATCTTTTCCCATCTTTTCATGGCCTCATTTAATCTGTTTGGGTGAGGTAGGAGTGGAAAATTATCAAAAGTTATGCAAACCAGAGATTGTCTCTAAGGAAGTTAATTGCCCCATAGAACAAAGCAAAGTGGATTCCTAAACCATGTATGATACAACTTTCAGAAGCCATGTCTGGAAATAGATCTAGTAGCCAAGTTTTAAAAGGGGTGTGAAAAGTGGCAAGTTTACTTATAAAACAATAGGGTTAAGATTTTAAGTGAACTGGGTGGTACACCTCTCTTTTAGGTACCTCCTCCCCCTTCCCACAGGGGGTGTTGTGTTATTCACAATATGAACATAGAAGTTGATCATACAACATATTATTGTTCAGTTTTTACAGGGCAGGCAAGCTTTAGGTTCCATTTACAATGATACATAACCCTATGAAGTCAAATTTGTAAGAAACCAAATGTCTAAAATAGACTTGAAAGAGAAGGTAGCTAATTAACACGCCTCACAAAATATTAAGTAATCTGAAAAAAAAATACTTTGAGAAAGTTAACACCTAGTTGTGAGTTGTGTACAGCACTTATTAAGTAAACAAACCTTTTCCATGGGTAAATGATTCTCTGCAATGATATTCAGCAAGTTTATTTTCTCTGTAATATCTCTGAGGTCAGTGACTCTTAGCCCAGAACACACTTCCTAATAAAGGAGAAAAAAAAAAGCCACATAATCAAACAAAAAAAGCTAAACAGCCAAAGGAACATTCTCTATACAATACCTTTTCAAGAGTCTTACCTTCAAATGTTTTCGGCATGCATCAATGGGCATAAAATCAAGATCTTCTACCTTTAACGATAGCGTAAAAGATCAGTAATAGCAGAAATGATGATAAATTATTTCTACTCTCAATGCAAGCAATGGAGTTTTAAGGCATTCTAATGAGAACAAGATGCTCGGAGGTTTACTTTGGGATGCATTGGTCATATCTACAGTCACTCTCAGTGGCTTTATGGGGAAAATAATAAATGTTATTCTGACTAATCAAATAAAAACAAAGACAAGCAAAAATACTTCAACAACACAGGATATGATGCCCAGTCACCCATCCAAGTAGTTACCTCAGCCAATAGAGCTTAACTTCAGCGAGAAGTACAAGCTTGTTGCTCAAATTTCCATACCTAACTATGCTGACACATGCAAATTTTTAATGTGGTGCCAAAGGCATCCCATGTAGTTATTTTAGATTTTTCAGTGTTATAACCGCAATCCAATTGTTTCAATTTTTTCTTTCTAGATACACTTGGTTCGATGCAGATAACATAAAGTTTAACACAATTAGTCTGTTATCTGTTATCATAAAAAAAGTGTTGGCTGTGCTCTTTTTTAAGGTCTTGCCTATTATGCCTACCTGTCTTCCATTCCATGGTACAAGAAATCAATTATCACCATCTCACCTTTTGCTTATTACAGTATTGATAATAATTCTATGGGGCTGTGAAGCAAAACTACACACTCGTGGAATATTTTTGGACCTTTTGATTAGCCTTCCTTCATAAAAGCTTTCTTGATAATAGCATTCCCTTAGCTAAACTTGAAATCATGGAATTCTTTGTTTAGCAAATGAGAGGTTCCCATCAGGCAAAAAGAAGTAATTTATTTTTACTAATTTTTTAGACTCAGACTCATTAAGAATAAATAAAATGCGTGGACTAACATATGATTCTGTATTTGGCCTGCTTTTTTTTTCAATTTCAGTGATGATTGTATCAAAACCTCATCTATCTTTTTTTTATCTTCATGCATTTGTGCCAACAACTCAGTTCTTCCTTTAGATAAAACATATCTTGTAAGATTTCATTCTTACCAAAAAGAAAAGTTAATGGCAAACCAGAAAATAAACAGAGATGTGTTATTCACTTTGCCAGTCTTGAATGACACTCATTTCAATGGAAATAGCAAATTCAACAAACATTTAAAAATACATCTAGAGCTATTGATATCCTGTGATGATAAGGCATTCTGTTGATGCCAAAATTTCAACTCAGTCTTTTTGTACCATCATTCTTTTCTTATTACCACACAACTGTCTTGTTTGGAGTAACTTTTAGGATGATCATAGTTACTGTATGAAACTGCTTCAAAGAATTCAGATGAAAACAATCTGTATAATTTCTTTTTTCATTAGTTTTTAAGCATTTCTGTTCTCTTGTTTGTTCACTTTACACTGTAACCTCCTAAAACCTCAGGATCACATCAAAGTTTGAACTTTTCATTTCATGCACACATTTGAACCTGAAAAACTACATGTACCTCAGAACTTTGATAAATTGATTTTGTTAAAACTTAAATTAAGCATGATACTAACATTGAATTAGAAAATAGATGCACAAACTATTTTCCAAAAAATTTAAACAAAACTATATCATGATGATCATGGTTAACCTAGTATAAGCTGTGGAGTGAAATGGGTGTTATTGATTAGGATAATGCACCAACCACAAGAACAGGTCAATAGACATATTAATCAACTAAGTACCAGTATATTTTATTGCATTATACCATTTCAGTCTTGCTAAGCTTACATGTTTGCTGTATCTTTTTTTCAAAGAAGTCACATCATCCATTTTAGACCTTCCATCCTTGTGTTTTTTGTGAGGTGGACTAGAGGAAAAATTATGTATATTAATCTTTACAATAGCATAATGTAGTACAGAAACTAACACATAACTATCAATTTGCTCTGAGAGTAAAAAGGTAAAATAATTCAGAAACATCTCATTGGATCCAGAATAAAAATTGAGAACTGTACAGAAACTAACAGTAATTAAAAAGTGAATTATGAGATGGCTGTTAATATATGAAAATCATTTATGTGAACTGTGGTTCAAGATATGAATATGAAAACGACCTTTGTAGTTATGTAATAAACACAATTTAAGCACTAGTAAAAATAAGGCCTGAAAAAAACCCACGCATGTACAGGATTTGAACCCATGACCTTTGCAATACAGGTTCCATGCTCTACCAAATGAGCCAACAAGCCAGGTGAGAACTGGTCATCATGTTGATTAGTTACTTCATGGTTTTATTACAAACCAACAGAAAGACCAGCTCCCAATTTGCAGTTGGCTTAGTCTGCAAGTTTTGATTTCTCAAAAAAAAAAAAAAAAAAAGGATGAAGGTAAGGAGAGAATGAGGTTAATATTTATTTCATGTACCAAAGATTCAAACTTGTCATGGTCACAATAAGAGGGAACTTTTCATTTAGTTGTAGCAAATGCCTATCCATTGGTCATTAGGATAAAAAATATATCTGAAGACATGAAAAATAAAATTTAACTTGAGTTGATAGATACCTCAGGTTATTTTGAGCTAGAAGTCTTTCGAGCTGTTTATTGTATTTTTGCACTTTCTTCCAATCACTGAATTTAGGTCTAGAGAATTAAAAAGATGAGGCATATAGCTAGCAATAAAATTTCTATCAAACAATTTTGGATACACTAATCTCCCCTATACCAATTAACATTTCCAGCCCAGCCAATATTACAGTAAAACTTTGGAGCAACACCATGATTTTGTTGATTCAAGGTTAAAGTATCACAGTGCCCCAAATATAATGTCACAATCTGGTACGAAACCAAGAAAAATTAATCCCAACATAACAAAACATATATAAAATAATAATCATCATAATGGAATTGGAATAGAGAATGACAGGGGAATCAAACAAACATGACATTTTTCCTTTTTTAATGTTTCAGTGTTTCACTTTGTCTATACTTTTTCTCATTGGTGAAGTAATGGACACCCTGACCAAAATTACCTTTTTATTGTTCAAATTCATCAATAGGAAGCATTTATGTAAAGGAATAAATTATATAAGAAAGTTATTGAAGAAACCAAACACACTTAGAAACACCCTATTTCTTTGTAAAAATTACAACAATTGTAAATGACCTGGATTCCAGCTCAAGTTTGAGTTGGGTGTTTTCACTCTCAAGAAGTTTGATCAACATCTTACACTCTTTGAGCTGCTTCTCTGTAGACTGACCCAAAAACACACTCAAAATAAGCAACAGTGAGTTCACTATGATATTCAAGTACCAAATCATAAATATCAAAATCAGGAGTAAATGTCAGAGTAAGAATAATTAAGTATACCTGTGGACATAAAGCTGTTCTCTATTATTCTCAAAATAATACTAATCAATCTTGATAACCATCTCTCATCTCATCCTTCTGTCAAATCCATCACTTGAAATTTTTCATTACCATCACTTAGAGATAATCATCCATGGAAAATTTGTGTGTAAAAGAGGTTGGAACATTCTTACAATCACACTCACCTTAAGAGAAACACTTTCACTGCTCTCAGCAATGTGTTATATTTTTGCTATACTTTTGGAATTATGGTGAATGGTCACAAAATATTCAAATTCAGAGACGGACAAACACCTGGATTGATAGATCATGTGTTTGCCCTTTCAAGTTCACATGAGTAACCACTTAGAGATGTTGTTATGAACCCCAGAAAACTGTTGTTTGCAGTTTGGTGCAAATTTGGATAAGTTATGATGTAAGAAGCTGCTGTGATCTCTTTTTATCTCATGAACACAGATAAAATTGGTACCACAGTGTATAACAGTTGCATTACCAAGATTTGCCATTGGGAGAATACTATCATGAACATGTCAGAGACTATATTAGAGGCTGTAGGTTCTTAACTCACTCCTGGTTTTATATGGGGGTGCTAACTGTATCATTAGTCTTTGAGCCTTAAATTCTACAGTTTCAGTTTGCAATGATTCCAGTGAACCTAAATAAGTAAATATTGTTGCAAAGTTCCCAGAACCAACTGGCAACTGGAAAAAATCTTACAAGATGGCAGAAATTAAAGGGTTGTTTGCCTCCACTAAAGGAATCATGTTCCTACTTTTTTGTCATTTGAATCTCAACTACCAGCACCTGCTCTATTTTTGGTGAACAAAAAGAAACAGTCAGCTGGAGGCAGACAGAATAAGGGATGAAATGTTCTAGATATTTTAAAGGAGGTAAGCATTGCCCAATCAAAGTATCAGCTTATTCAATGCTTAATCAGCCTAAAGGAACCTATGACCATCATCCCTGCCATTCCATTGGGATCACACACTCAGAACACTTGTTAATTTTAATTAACTTGTTGATAACTTCAGATGAGTACAATGTCAGCTTTTCACTTGACTTAAAAACTTGAATCGGCTAGTGCCAGAGATGCAATTACAGAGAGAACATTGGCAGTTCTGTAAATTCATAGCATGCAAAAATCTCTATTATTGGGTAAATGGGAAAAGTGAGATAAAACCTCTTCATTTTCATGATAATCTTCAGTTAATATTATTGATCAGTTCTTATTGGCCTTTAGAGTGTGTATTTATCTTAGTTGGTATTTTGTGTCAGATCATAGAGAGGGCAAGGGGAAATCCAGTCAGCCAGCTATTGTTTTGCCACAAAAAAATCTTAAAAGGGTTCCAAATAACTGCCAAAACAAACAACTATAGAAATTATGTAAACCTTAAGAGTTACTAATATAGTTTCTTAGGATTGTACTAAGTTAATATTGGCCCTTACTCTACACTCCATATTTTTAGAAAGAATTTGCCTAGTTTCTTGTCTGTTGAAAAGCTTGGTTTGTAAGGTTATAGCAGAGAAAAAAATTGTGAACTCCTCTTTCCATCATTCCTTGTTACTTGGAAGCATTATACATTTATTGTGCAATATCTGGGTTGGGAAGGTAACAAAAAGGTTAATAAAGGTATAACCAAAGCAATAAAGAAGGAGAGAATCATTCATTTTCCACTTGACTCACCTGTACCTTTTCTTCTTTCTGTATTTTACGTTCAGTCTTTCTATCTTTACTGGTTGAAGTATTGATGTCTGCATATGGTGGAGGTACTTCACTTCCTGCAGTCAACTCACTTTCAGTAGGGCTTTGACTTCCAACATGAGACAGAGTCTTACTATCCATTTCTTTTTTCAACTTTTTAAGTTCCTGCTGCATTTCAAAGATCTTTGATTCATAGCTGTCAATTACATCCGAAAACCTGAAAGATAGCGTTCTCAAAGGTCCCCTTTCTTTTTCTTTAATAAGTGTCTGAATGCTTTATTTTTAGCTGTTATTATTTTAGGTGTTGATGCAGATAAGTAATAAAATCTTTCAGTTATTACTGTTAATAGACTGAGGCAACCATTAAAACTGTGACTCGAGTGCAATGAGGTCTCTTTTTGTTTTTGTCTGAATGTCAGCATACCCAAAATATCAAGGGCATGCAGCATTGTTGAGCATGGCTTCTGGCATAATTTGCCAAGAAGTTGCTACATTCAAAATTGGGTGGGCCCTGATTGCCAAGTCTAATACACAATTTTTTAATACTATCTTTCTAAGTTTCCACCTTGACAATGTGTGCAAATTAATAACTAAGCAGCATATTGTATATTTTGTTATATCAGAAACAATTTATCTTGCAGGTTAGAATTTATTCTATTAGAGCTGATAAAGTAATAAAGAGTAATGGTGTAATAATCATCTATTATTTGACTCATTGTTTTGATTCCTCTCTCAAACAACCACCCTTTGTCAAGGATGGTCACTCATTGACAAAGACTACATTTTTTGGTAATTTAGTATTATCAACTGAGTTGATAACGTAGATTAGCCACCGTAAAGAGTTTAAAAGCTGACTTTTTGAGTGTTAGCCCTTTGTCAGAGCAATTCCATTGCCATGAAGAAGGGTTAATGCTTGAAATGTTAGCTATTTAGCTCTTTATGGTGGCCAATTTGTGTTACCAACTTAGTTGATAACACTAAATTACCCTCAGCTGATATACCCTCCTGCCAACACAGCACCACAGTTTCTCTAGAAACTTACCCCCTTTAGACATTTTTTTTGCCTTTGAAAGTCTTCATTATGGTCATAAAAGTTTTTCAAGAGAAAGTAAATTTGCTTGAATAAACTTTGCAGAGCTATAATTTTTCAACTGAGCCACTCTCATTCATCTGCAGACAAAATCTCTTTGTAATGGAACAGAATGGACCAAAATTCAATTCCAATGGTCATATTTCTCTTACACACTTAGTGAAGTGTATGACCCACAGCTTTTGCATGTTCCAACCATTTAAAATGGTCTAACTAGCTTAATTGATACAACTTGTTAAAATTGTCCAAAAGATGAAAGTGAGGTACCTAAATGAAAAATGGTGTAACTAGAGGAAATGTTCCACCTGGTTAAATGATCCTATTGTTTAAAATGATCTATTAGATAAAATGGTCCAACTGCTTAAAATGGTCTGGGGGGAATTGATTAGTCCATCCAGTTAAATGGTCAAACTGCTTAAAATGGTCTACATAGATAAAATGATTGAATATATACATCTCTGAAATTAACTCTCTCGCAAACTGTCCAAATTTGGCCAAATTAGTTTTCAGGACTACCTCAATAATATTTATATGCTGTTTGTTTGTATGGTTATGAACCATGTGTGCAATTATTAATATTAAACTGTTTATATGCAGGAGACAAATATTTTCTAAGAACTAGCTACTTCCTAACTTTTGATCTGGTGCAGTTCTCTTCTCTGCTGACTGTTTCCAGGAGTGTCCCCTAACATCATTTTCTATGTCAAGTCTTTTAACGTCCTAAAAAGCAATGGCACTATCCAATTAAAACCAGAGGAAAAAAAATTCTTAAAAAAAAAAATTCACAACCTTGAACCCTTGGCAACCTTCACATATTTAAACACAGTGAAGAAGGGGAAAAAACTCACTGTTCACCACTAAAATCTTAACTGAAAGGAAACACCTCTTTTAAAAGGGACATCCTGGAATGAAAGTGCTATATGAGATCAACTAATTTACATACCACATTGTCAAGACCTTGACATGTCTGCCGAAGAATTGTGATTTCCTCCTCCCTTTGAGCAACTTTCTGTTGTAGCTGCATCTGCAAAGCCACAAGTTCAGTTTTTGTTCTTTTTAGTTCTTGTACTTCTTTTCCATGACGTTGAAGTTCCATTAATCGAACTCCCTCCATTTCCTTGAAGTTAGAAAAGTTTTATTATAAGCTTAAATCAGTTTTTTGAAAATTCCAAATCAGTGAATTATAACTAAAGTCAAACCTTGAAAAAGGTTCCAGTTGTCAGGAGTTGAAAACAAAGGAGTGGAGACAAAGGAAAAAAGTTGTATATTGTTTTTCTATTCATACACTGCACTTCGAGAGACATCAGAGACTTACATATATTGATGATTGACTTAAGCAGCCACTATTTATGAAGATACAGCTGCTATTGTTAAATGTTGCCACACCAATGAATACTGAACTGGACAGACACATTTGCGCAAAAGAGAACACAGATTACAAATTGGCTGGTTCAAACTAAATTTAATGTTTTCAACTGCAGTACACTGCTTGCTTTGATTTGTCATGTTTTGACAGATGTATAATGGAAATCCAGGGTTCAAGTTATCAGGGGTTAATGGTATCTTAGTCAACTATATCATTATGCTGGATAACATGAAAAGGGTGAACTGAAGTTGTACACTGAGCTCTTTTAAGTGTAATATTTCACTGTCATGATCATAAAAGTAGATGCAATGTTCATCAAACAAGTATTGCAATATTTTTTTGTGCTTATCCTCATCTCTGGTCTATGGGGATAAAAATTGGTATGCATGTGCTGAAATTATTCTACACTTGCATTTTTTAAGTATTTACATTTGAAGTAATCATATAGTTATGCCTAACCTGAACTTTAAGCTTTTCTTCTTCCAGTTTTCTTTTTAGATCCCTGATCTATGAGGAATATATAAATAACTAATTCTAATCCCAGTTTGCTCTAAAATAAAAATTACAGAAATAATAATAAAAATTAATAATAATCATAATTACCCCAAAGGTCACAAAGCAGTGAGGTATCAAGGTTTGTTTCCTGTGTTGGGAACGTCATTTGAGCAAATTGCACTTTTTACCAAACCATGTGTGACTCTCAGCAAGAGAATTAGATGTAAACTGTTTTTGTGGTCACACCAATGTTAGTCCAGGTTCATGGGACTCTCGTTAGTATCCAACTTACACAGTTATTGTTCATTACTAACTTAGACAATAACAGTTAAACACCAAGAAGGGGAGATTGTCAGGTAATAAGTAACCTTGTGAATCTGAAAATTCGGGTACTAGGTAAAAAGAATGTTTTATGGAACTAAAAATTCCCTTGGTGCAATGTTTATTTAAATCCATCATCAGGGTTTTCTACCAAATGGGAGAAGACTTTCTTGTACAGCAGCATAAACTGAAGGAATCACAAAAGGATGGATGCTGACAATCAGAAAATACAACAACACAAAGCCTTGTGTAAGTGAATTATTGAGGGAATGCATCTTGGAAATGTGCCAATTGCAGCTTTTGAACATCATAAATTTCCAGGTTTGAGTTGTGTGGATAGTACCACAATTCTATACACACCTCCATTTCATGACGATAAACCCTTTCCCTTTCTTCATCAGCATCTCTTCTTCAATTGATTTAAAAATACAGGAGAGATAAGCTTGTAAACATACCCAACCTTTCTACCTGTAAGAGTGACTAGCATAAAATTTCTCCTTATAGTATTACCCAGACATCGAAGGTCAAGGAAATAAACAAAATGATCACCAACTTATGTAGCTTTTGACTATTATTTACTTGTCAGTAACATAAGAAAGAAGATGTGTATAGTAAGGAAAATATGTCAGGGTGTAAAGGGTTACTAAACTTGACAAACTGGACATTTATATTTCATGGATTTGGTAAAGATTTATAATTTAAGTATCCATATTTCTTATGCACAGTCAGGAATAAAAAAATTCAGTTACAGTATCTGTCAATTAAAGGCTATACTTAACTAGTCAAATAAAACATCAAGTGTTATGTGAAAAATGATAATTCAAAATACTTACTGAATTCTGGTTGAAGAGCTGATTAGCTCCTGCACCATTGACTGCCTTCGGTCACTCTCAGTCATCAACTTGTCCAAAGTGTTCTGTAAATTCTTGGATGAAAGCTCCTCTAAAGCAACAGCTGCTATGGAGACAGAAGTTGAAGAAATGTTAGAAACTGCTGTTTCCAAAATCAATGGCAAGCTTTAAAACAGAGGTAGAAATGAGTTAACATAACAGACCTCAACAATTTTTTGAGATAGTATGTTTATGAGGTGATGGGTAATAATACTAATAATAAAAAAGACAGCTGTTACAACACTTGGGCAATTAAAACTAGGGACCTGGTTCCCTAGAGGGTAAATCAAAAATAAGTTAGTGTCAAAGTCTGAAGTTTACTTTTGTGGTCACAGTGTACAGTACTGATGCATATGCATATATTGGTATGGGAAACATAACATTACCTCCATGACTTTCTTGCAATTGACCTGATGGAAACACCATGACAGGTTGATAACCATGATGCATAAGCCTACGGTTGATTGCACCCCAATCAGCCATCACACCTGCCTTTCAGAAGAAAAAATAATGAAAACACAAATCTATAAGCCACACTGTCAGATTAGCTGCACCCCCAGTTAGGCAACTCAAATTTTGAGAAAAAAGCTTTTGCAAAGAAATCAAAAGATATCACAAGAAGAGTCTCAGAAATTTGCCTCATTTTGGTTGCCTCAACAAATGTACATGTGCATGAATTCACTAAAGATTATCTAAATTGAAAATACTTTTACTGTTTGCAAACCATTCTAATTTGTTTTGATAAAAACACAAAGAAATTTGGTTACCAAAAAATGTTGGACATGTGCTAGGAAACCATTCTGCCAAATATGACAAAGGACCTTTCAATTGCAGGAACAACAAAGAAATAGCCAGATTTTATAAGAAAGTCATTTCCTTTAGGGGAGGGAGGTTTTTCCTCATCAGAAGAAAATAGAATATGTCTTAAAACCTAATGAAATTCAGAAACAAGACTTTTTTTCAAATTTCTCCAAATTGGTTTACTTTCTTGGTGAATATAAATTATAACAATTGGGTTTATTCTGCTGAGCCGAGCTTTAACAATGCTACAAAACATGACATGTTCTGTAGGTAATTATTTTTGCAGAACAAAATTTAGCACGTTGTTAATTAGCACAGATAATTGAAATAAACATGAGTACCATTACTCTCAGTGAATGATATATAACTATTTAAATCATGCAACCTTTTGATGTTTGAGATCCATTATGATTTAAAATTTTGGCACTTGCTTTGTTACTCAATCAAATGGTTGATTTCCTGGGGTGCTTTCACAGTGGACAAGTGAGCAGAGAAATTTACTTGCCTGAGATGGAAATCTACTCATCCAAGACAACTGGATGTTGACATTTTTTAAGCACATGCAGTGACTATTAGTGAAGGTCCAAAGCCACCCAAGAGCAAGAAATAGAAGCAAATGGTTATGAACAAAACCAGCTCTTTTAGGAGCCATCCTATTTTAATAAGCAATGATCAATTTCTATTCTTGTATATCTTTATGAAGTTCTTATTTAAGTGTGCTGTATGTACAAACATAAATTTTTGTTAAGCAGTTGTAATAAATGCTATTTTGAAGCACATTGTCCAGATGTTGTCAGAGATTAAAGCTGCATTCCTGATTTGCTACCAAAATTTTGGTCTAAAAGATGTGGTGTGCATGCCAGTGTTTAGGGTATACATCAAAGTTTCAGAAATTTCAACCATTCAACTATGTTCAAGCAAGTGAAACTAGCATAGGAGACCAACTTATTATGGGGTTATCACGGTGCCATTCTTAAGGTATACTGTCAGTAAGGTGAAACACTTATCAAGTGCAAAATAAAGTGTGGTTAGACAGCTCTTGTACAGAGAGTAATTTGCATGACTTAATTCTCTTTCCTCTACATCCTCAAGCTTTCTTAATTGCTGTGTCACTTGATCAATTCTCTTTCTACAGAAGTTGACTTGAGATAATACCAAAATGTTTTTTTATCCAAAAAAAATGTTTTGGAATAAAAAGTTTTGTATGAATCATAGTTAAAAAAATTAAAGACAAAAGTTATAAATCTGATTAAAAATATTTAATCGGATTTGTTGAAATACTTTGAACTCTCCATTAGGGGACCAACCTTAGTGCAGGAAAAAGTGGTCACTTCAGGAAAATATCTCCCACACCCAAAATTCATACTCATTCATTTATGTTGCTGACTTTTATTCTGAAAACATTTCAAAATTCCAAGATTGAAAGGTCAAACATACACCCAAGCTTGACAATGATGTCATGAGAACAAAGAACAATTGGTTCTTCTTCATGTTGCTAGTCTTTACTTGCATTTCAAGAAACCCTAACCTAAGTTTATTGATTTTAAGAAGAAACTTCCACTCAGTAAAAAGAATTGTGTTCAACTGGTAACTTACTGTCTTTGGACTGTCATCCTCACTCCTTCCATGATCTACATAGGATGCACAGTGTAGGTTTAAATAGTATGAGATGCAAAGATTGTGTGAAGCACTAATAGTACAAGGACACTGCATTGAAATGGTACCAAAGCCATTAATATGATATTCTTTGTTTAACAATATTGTACAGGGCTGCAACCAAAGTACTACTCAACTGACAATGGATAAAACTCTAGTGCTGGGGAAGGTAGTTCTGAAAAGGAATGGGGTTGGTCACAGTAACTGGTTGATTCCACAAAGGGAGTGGAAATAATATTTATGGTGGTTAAATTATTATCATGAAGTCCTGTTGCTTAAAAATTAATTGCTTAATTTTTCTGTGAGAAACTGTGCAGTTATGGGGGAAATGCCCCCATTTTCTAAAGAACTGTCCATAGTTAACACTCATATTGGTCATCAGTGTAAAGTGCCCCTAACTTGTTGAGAGGAAGGTGGTACATTAAAAAATCAGCCTTCATAGTCAGCCGTAGGTAGTAGCTGATGCTGTGTCAGTCAATGGTGTGTTTCAGGAGTCAACAATGTTCAGGTCTTTCAGGGTCAGTTTTCAGGAGCACTTTTTCTCCACTATAGCACCTTAAAATTTACAATGAATTTTTTTACCCTTTTATAGGAAATTTTAAATATAGGAAGTCAAAAGAACATAAATAGCTCCCTTTCCTCAAATTGCTTGGTACACTGTATTTCTGTGACAAAACCACCCTTAGAAGTTCAACAGTTCACATAAAAGCCATGGCTATCATGACTAAAATGTGACAAACAAACTAGTTTGGAGCACTCTGAATGCTCATCCAGTAAGGAAAAAAATGACACACATTTTTTAGCCATGTTCTGCCAATAAAACTGTGATTACATTTAATGAAACACAAATTACTGAAAAGAAGATTTTCTTTTTACACTGACACAATATACCTAATAATGATGCCTGCCATCTGGAAGGTCTGCCTCTGGCAGCATTTTCCAAACTTTCATCCTATTTTTACATGAAATGAACTAATTCTAAGCCAGAAAACAATTTTAAATGTTTTTCCTCTCTCCTGAATTCCTTTTACGTAGATGTGTGCAGAAATAACTGTTTTAATTTTTGCATACACTTTTTCATAGACTTAAGGAAGGATTACTGTGACCATGGACAGTGGTGCTTTCAATAAGATGCTGTACTGACCAGAGTTCTAGTGGGTATTTTGTCGTGAATTGTTGGGTTACTTTGCCACATTCAAGACAAATTTACAGAACAAAAATATATCAAATAAGGATTTGTTTCGAATAACAAGCAGAAGAAGACACTGTCATCAAAGATCATGGAATTAAAATGTAAATACTGTAACCCTTTAACTCCCATGAGTGACCAAGACAGAATTTCTCCTTTCAATGCAATATTAACCCGATGAATGATGAGAAAAAAGAAAAATATCAATTTGGGGATAATTAGTTGATCCAATACCAAATTCTCTGAAATAACATTCTAAGAATTGTATGGTTGACAGTAAGGAGAATTACAAATTTGATCTAGGAGTTAAAGGGTTAAGCAACTGTGATTCAAAGTTTGGTGTACTTGTAAAAAGAAAACAATAGAATCTGGCTTGGCAAGGTGAAGAAAGGATTAGACTCTATCATCAAAATTTGAGAACATATGCATATGGAAATTTGATACACACAAGATATTATTTTGTATTGTTTTTGTAGACTCCTTAATGAAAGTGTTTAGTATTATGTGATGTTGGACAATTACCATCCTTCTGGATCTTTCTGACTTTTTGGAAGCTTTTAAATGAACACATTGAGATATTTTATAGTTCTTTTGGTTGACTTTAAACATACTTTGTTTGAAGCCAGTTAATATTCTAAATGGAACTAATGGGCTAACAATATTATTTTCCAGGGGGTGCTTTACTGAGGTAGCCACCTACTTCAAGTTTTATTGAAGGCACTGGGACAGAGATTAAGGGAGATCTGGATCAGATTACAAGATTACAATAGATAGAAAAATAGAACTACAGAGAAATGAATCAGCAGAATAACTTGTCAGCCTGGAACACGTAGTGTTACATAGGTTCTGTCATGTGACTCACCGTAAGGATTCCGGTAAGATCCACTGAGGCTGAGGAGCTCACTTTCTACTCTCTAATATGGTGAAAAAATAAAGAAATAAAAAAATCTTGAAGAATGCTATATGAAGGTATAAGAATGACAGGATAAATTGTGATTAAAAAACAAAACTAGAAAAAAACACGACTTAAGTTCTAATTGATAAGTTCTAGTGCAAGTCACACAGATATAAATACAGAGAGGCAATGGGTCAAAGAGGGCTCTAAATCCTCCCTTCTCTCATCCAAAAATAGCTATTGCAATGCAAACATGCCTTGGTTTACAAAAAGACAGTGCCTCAATGGGTGTCAAGATAAACTGGAGCATTACTACTAACAATTAGTGGATTTAGTTTTTGCATGATAACAAGCATCAAGGCCAAGAATTGTCTATTGTCCGTGAACAATCTGTGGCATGATTGCCACAATCAGGTTTTTTAAATTTCCCTGACTTTTCCCTGAAAAACGAACCAACTGCATTAAAAATTTTACCAACAAATCCTGATAATATAGGGAATAGTTTTAGGCTATCTTATACATACTAAATACATACACTCTTCTGAGGATAGATACAAGGTACGCTCAGCTGTCAAGATCAGTATGTATCTGGTCTTGGACCTTACTCCTCTAAGTTTTGCATATTTTGGCCCCTCTTATCTTTGAGCTTTACTGTAGGTACAAAATGCAGGCTGATAGCAAACAGTATTTCATTTTTAATTTACCTTAGAAGTGGTGACATTTAATAACTAGCCATTTGTCTTCCATGACAATTTGCATTTGTTGACAAATTTTCTTGAGTCATTAGAATATGCTTGTTTTAACCACTATTTCAAGCATATCTTTGTAACAAGATGACACTTAAAAAATTCAACTCCAAATTATACTGTTTTTTTTTTTTAATATGAACTGATAACACTTAATGTACTGCATAATCAAAGCACCTGTACACAACTGTGAAGGCTTAAAGAAAGTTCAAGAATTTAAACTTTAACACTTTGTTTGAGAAGTACATTTAAGGACATTAGGCAAAAAAACTCCAAAAGAATGCAATTGACAATACACATAACACAAGTTATGCAAATAAAAATTAAAAAAGGGTTGATTATTCCTACACTTTGTACCCAGACTGCAATCCACAGTCTGCATTTTGTACCCAGTCTGAAACGTGCTGTCTTTATTTTATACTGGTCTGCAATGTGCAGTCTGCATTTTGTACTCTGTTTGCAATGTGCTATCAATATTTTGGTCCTCGTCTGCAGTCTGCCTTTGGTACCTAGTCTGCATTTAATATGCGATCTGTAGTATACAGTCTCAATTTTGAACTAGCTGTACCTTGGAACAAAAGAATTTTGAACGTGCGTCTGTTCAGTGATAGATCAAAGTCAGAATGTGGTAAGAACAAAAAAGTGGCACAGTGTGATTGATGTCCTTTCCGCATTTTGACGTCCTATGTGACCTATACTGTACAGACCCAAGGTAGCATAGAATCTACAGGGAAACCTAAAGGGACACAACTTTCCTGATAACTACCACAGTAGAAAATTACAGTGAAAATGGAAGTTGTACGTACGCAGAACATGGAATAACAAACGCTGAACAGACCTAACTACTATCTGTGAGAAATTTTGATTCATACCGTATTCATAATTCGGCAGGAACTTTTAATCTTGTAAATACAGCATATTCATTAACATAGGGGTAGTTAAATGCAGTGCCATACAAACTCAGCGAGGCCAATAAAAACAACAGTAACGATTGTTTAGACCAAATATGGATGCTAAGTTTGTTTACAACTTCATTCCCAGGGCTTTCTCGGTCGTCTCTCAGAAATGGAGAAATGGCGGTCTTTGAAAACCGGAAACCGTCCCTGGAAACAAAAATTGTTCGTCCACGTGGTTCAATCAAGATGGCGGCACGTGAATGTGGAGAGTTAGGTAAGTTTGAGTATAGGTGCAAGGTCATCATAGAACCTCTTTTCTCGTTTGTCCAAATTATTTCTGCTTTTAAACAAATTTACCAGGGGAAACCCTGACTGATACCAAAAGGTGAAATATGTTACGCTTTGCATTTTATCACGTCATGAGCAAGGCAGGGGAAAAAATCAGCAATTCCAGAAATTCGGAGGGATTCTACATTGTTCTAGAAGAAATAAGCAAATTGGAAAAAGAACAAGAAGAATATAAATTGAAGTTATTACACAGTTTACCATAGGTTGATGGTGGAACACAAATTTCAGGTTACTGCTCTCAAATTCTCAATGATATGTAACTATGGTTTCAAAATGCTGAAGTTTTATCGGGAAGAAAGTTGCCCTAAGATGTGAGATCCAATTTGGTTTCCATTTTCTGTGTTCTTGTAACTTCTCTGGTTGGTGATACCATGAAGAGCCATGGACTTAGCCATCATTCCTGTGCAGATTGTTGAATGATTTCTGTCAATCATTTGTTACTTCTGACTGAAAAGATCTGTCTAAGATTATATGGCCGATAATCACAGTTGGATACTAGCTGAATCACTACAAAAGTGGAATCATATCTATTGAATGTCAATTCAAAGAGGCTATCCCCTTTTCAAACATACAAACTACATGGATAGTAAACAGAGGTGAACAACTTAAAGATTTTTAAAATGGACTTAATTAAGAAATATGTAGCAACTAGCTGGCTTCTAGTAAGTAAGAAAAAAATAATGGCATCAGTAGCATCAATTTTTTTTTGTTCATTTTGAGAAGATGCATTGTAGGTAATGAAATCACATGCATGTAAATGGTGTGTCTGTCAAGCCATTATAGGTGATAATAACTTTTCCAGTTCTGACTATTATGTTGTCAGTTAGTAGTGGAGAAATCTTGAAGTATTCACCTCTCAATCATGACCTGTTTTGGCTGGTTTTTCTAGTAAATGCATGGAAATTCACAGCTCTTATTATCTAGTTTTTCATTGAAACTAAGGACAGCTGAATCCAAACTTTGTCACTGAGCTCCAATCTGCCCTTGACTCTGATGATGACTTCCATTCAGGTTGTCAAAATGTCAGTCACCTCTACTGACAAAAGTTGTTCTCAGGACTTAACACTCACCTGGACAATCAAACTACACTATGACAACCTGATTATCTTAGTAATTCAGTGAACAATTAAACTGTAGATCATGTTTTTCTTGTTCTTTGTTTAGCAATTCTGAGTGTTTCTGATAAGCAAGGACTTGTAGAGTTTGCCAAAAAGCTTGATGGATTAGGATTTAAGTTAATTGCATCTGGAGGAACAGCAAATAAAATCCGTGCTGCTGGTATTGCTGTCAGGTACAGTGTATGTGCAGTTTCTTGCAACATGTTATTTTATTTGGTTGAATGATGCATTGCTGACTGACTATTATGTAATAGTACACAATGATAAACCAATACAAAATTTCTTTAACCATAGTCACAGGTTTTAAGAGTGTGTTTGTTTAGGTGACAGTTTCAAAAGCTTTCAGCTATAAGTGTATCTCTCTAAAAACTTCAGAAAATATCATCAAGAGGTCTTAATTGTGATATTATTAATGCATGCAAAGTCATAACAGTCCAGTGTAGAGAGTGGTAGCATCTTGATACTTATTCCAAACAGTCAGTTGCGCTCAATGAGGTAGAGTAGAACTCACATGGGGTGTTGCACAACAAATTGCTACACTAAACAGGGTTAAATGGAAAAATATTGTTGTAACCTTTGTCCCATAGGGGATATAAAAGATTGATAATAATCTGTATGGGAATCACTTGGGTCCATACAGATGGCTGGTGTGCTCTGTTACCCCCATTCAATTGGTCTGTTATGCCTGATTATTGGTTCTTACTAACAGATGTTCTGCATCTTGTGAAATTCCAGCCAAAGGTATTTTCTGCCTCATTTGTGGATTTGGTCATCCTAACTCCATATCAAGTCCAAAATCCAGTTTGAAGTTAAGATCTCAAAATGTGCCATTTGTGAAAAGCCTTCTCTGCCTCAAAATAAGGCAGAAAGACTCTTTGTAGGTATTTTCCAAGATCTGCAAGCAAAAATTCTATTAATGAGGACTAAAAATTGAGCATTAAAGACCATGTGGGCTAGTTGGTCATATATATGTTATTTTTTCTCTGACAGGGATGTGTCAGATGTGACAGGTGCTCCTGAGATGTTAGGGGGTAGGGTTAAAACCCTCCATCCTGCTATACATGGAGGTATACTGGACATTTTCAAATGGGTGATTGTTTATTTGATTAGTTAAGACTATGTGTATCTGCCCTTTTATTGTCCCAACACACATAAGTATGGTGTTTAAAAATAATAACTGGAAAATAAATTACCCATAGTTTAAAAGGAGATTATTTTATCAAAGTGCTGCTCTGCTTCACTCTAAGAACTGCTTCAACATTATAATGATCCTTTTCTTTGAGCAAGCTTGTTGTTACAGCAGGCTTGCCACCCTTTATCTCATAAACTATATTATTTGGATTATAATTTGGAGGTATAACTCTGGTAATGACACAAAAAACAAGTTTAATTTCTGACTTCACATTACACACACAAAAAAGATATACATGTTACCTTGAATGGTTTGTTTTGTCTTAGGGATTCTTGCTAGAGTAACTGAAGGAGACAAATCAGACATGGAAAAGCAAAGTTATGAGTATATCAGGTTTGTTAAATTAAACTTAACTGTATGTTTCACTGAAATTAATTTTACATTCATTCTCTTAATTTTTATGATTACAGTGACAAAACTAGACAAATACAAACAATGAGAATAAATATATGTACGTGCCACAGAAATATGGGAAAACAATCTGTATACATCTGACAGTCAGAACTACTATAGTTAACATCGTATGTTCTACTTCCTTGCTAGCCAACAGTACGTGACAAGGGCTGTGTGGCTAGAACGTTACTGAGTCTTTCACCACCAGTGCTTGATAAGTTTTAAAGGTGACTTGAGTTAGGAGTTTAAAGGCTCCCTAGTTTGGCTTGTGTCAAAGTGATTTCTTACATTGACATGATGTAACTATCATTTTAAGAAGTCAAATCAACTGCTTCACTGGTTTTAGCAACCATAGATAATTTTATGGTGCGTTCATGTTTTTTCAGACTTGTGGTGTGTAATTTGTATCCTTTTGTAAACACTGTGGCAAAGGAAGAATGTACTGTGGAAGATGCAGTGGAGGAGATTGACATTGGTATGTGATATCTTAAAATTATAACATATTTATAATTTTGTAAAGAGTGAGTCCATCACTCAGTCATAAACAGTTTGGTTAAGGGTTGAGATTCACTATCAGGACCAATTTTTTCAACCAGAAGAGTTGCATTGATATTTTTCTTTTTTCCTAACTTTTAAATTTGGGATCAGGACATGACAACTTACAACATTTATGCTATTCTTTACTTTCCTCATATCACCTCTTTGTCTTACCCCGAATAGGAGCTTGTAAACAGGTTCACACATACCTGACTTATAATACAGAACAAAAAGGTTTCTCCTCTTGAAATGGGAAAAAATGATTAGGCATGAACTTCCGGTAAGGTTACCAGAGACCCACAAACACCTATTAGACTCTATTCAACAACCCTCATTAATTTCATTAGCAAAGTAAAAGTAAGAAAGAAATATTGTGGCAACAATAGTAATAGAGAAGAATACCAATGATTCTAGTTACAGACTTCACCCTGAATCCAAAAGTTAAACGTCACTTTTGCTATGACAAAGTTTTGTAGTGTTTGAAGCTTGAAATTTTTTTCAGAAGGAAATTAACCAGCGCACAGCTGTAATATAAATTATTAAATAGTTATTATTTTGTGTTTAGGTGGTGTTACTCTTTTAAGAGCTGCTGCTAAAAATCATGCTCGTGTCACAGTCGTTTGTGATCCTGCTGACTATAATAGGTAAATGAGGCTACAGTTGACTCTGTCAATTACTGTGTATTGAATTTTAAAACTAAACACAAAATTTTTCTTAAAATAAGCCCTTAAAACCATTAGTCTCAAAATTTGAAAAGTAATATTGAGGGACAAGTTTTAGATAGCATGAAACACAACCAAAGTCGTCCTATAAATAGTGAGTGGGCATTCTTCCTTTCTTCACTCCATGAGAAATGTGAATGTTCACGGGGGAACATTTTTTAATTGTATTGCATGAAACAACCCTTATTGAGGGGTGCTGTCTTTTGGAAATATTCTTCTTCATCAGCAGAAGATAGTGTGAACAATTTGAATTGTTTTACTGATTGAGTTTGAGGTAGCACTCTCATGTCTGTCTAACCTCTTGTTCTACCAAATGAAATTAAGAAGGTAATCATTGAATGTTTCAACTACCTTTGCCACTGGCTATGGTATTGTTACACCCTTTGCTTTAAAAGGTGAATCTTTAAGATAATCTGTCTCTACTTTTTTTATTGGTTGGCAGTTTTTTTGTGAGGATGTAAAGACAGGATGACAGGATAAGCCTATCCTTTTTTTTTTTTTGGTTATTGGTTATCACCTTATTCACAGGGTAGTGGACGAATTAACCTCAAGTGATTACCATGACACCTTGCCAAGCACAAGGAAAATGCTTGCCTTAAAGGTAAGAGAATCGTGGAGACAGTACACAAAATAACTGCTCAACATGGCTTCTAAATGACACCCCAGAAACAAACAAACAGGAGCATTGGGCACATCACAAATAAGAATTATCATCACTTACATTGGGAATTTGTACAAAAAACAAAATTTAAGGGTAAATTTATTCCCATGCATTGGCTTAAATTCATTCAGTTCCACTTGAGTTTGTACAGCCTGTGTTCTCCTTTATTTAAAACTCTAATTTCTCTTGTGGTCTGTTGTATTTGGCTTCAGTAAGGAGTTAAATGTACTTGTATCTCAGCTGTACTTACCATTGGTGCTATGGCCCAATTTTATGCATCACCTATTCATGGAATATATATGGGATATAACTGATTTCCTAACAGTAAATCTATGGGATATATTTGATAACTTTCATAGTTTTTTAAAAGTCATGGAATTTATAGAGTTATGAAAATTTACAGAACAGTATTGGAGATGAATTTTTCTTAGGCAGACTACATCATTGTTATTTGTACCTTTAGGCTTTCAGCCACACTGCAAATTATGATAAAGCCATTTCAGACTACTTCAGAAAACAGTATGGTACTGGAGTGTCACACATTCCTTTACGTTATGGAATGAACCCCCATCAAAAACCAGCACAGCTGTTCACCTCAGAAACCAAACTTCCAGTCAATGTCCTCAATGGCTCTCCTGGGTTTATAAACCTCTGTGATGCTCTAAATTCATGGCAACTGGTCCAAGTAAGTTTCTCCAACCAGGAATATTCAGCTGTGTGTCAGTGCCTGAATAATGTAACTGACAACAAAGGTTATAAATGATCAATTAGTTATTTCTCATCAGCTTTATTATCTGTAGGGTCTATCTCTCTAGAATGAAAGAGTTCTTTAGCCTTTAGAAGAGGTGAAAATCTCCATATATATGAGAATCTTTGAGTTTGTAAATGGCTTCTTCTAAACCATCGTGGATATTGTGGTCTATTAAACTATGGAAGTTGATGCTGTGTTAATAATAGGTTATTACTTCTTTACAATATAATCATATACAGGAATTACGCCAATCCCTGAACTTGCCAGCTGCAGCATCATTTAAACATGTAAGCCCAGCTGGGGCAGCTGTTGGGGTGAAACTTACAACAGAGCAGGCAAAGCTTTGCATGGTGGAAGATATGATTGACAGCTTGACACTACTAGCCACAGCTTATGCCAGAGCCAGAGGAGCAGACAGGATGTCATCCTTTGGTGACTGGGTGGCGCTTTCTGACATCTGTGATCTCCCTACAGCAAAAATTATATCTAGAGAAGTGAGTTTCAATCAAGAGAATGTAAACAGGGGATGTTCTTTAGTATTTAGAATAAGTGGGATATGTGGCACAGATGTCACTTTTGAACAAAGGGTTTACAGAAAAGTGGAAAATGGTACTTTTTAACTTTAAAGGAGGTTGTAACTCTAGAAATGATCAAGTATGTCTTCTGAGAGGTACGTTTATTTCAGTGACAAATTACAAACTGAGTAAAGATTTAAAATAGAAATTTGTTGTTGTTAATCTTTCATATTGAATTATATGTGATAAATGTACTTTGTTCATCAAAAAAAAAATCTTGGAATAGCTCATAAAAAATTTTAAGTATTTGAAAATGTCTGCCAAGTTGGTGCAGTTACTTTAGAATCAACAGAAGCCTTTCCCAAAAAATGTAGCATTTTTATTCATGGTCAAGGATAAAAAGGTGGATGAAAAAGGAATTGTTTCTTCAGTTACTATGGGTTTGTATGTGTGTAAGTTGATTTGTGATCCTTTCTGTAGGTCTCAGATGGTATCATTGCCCCAGGGTATGAGCCAGATGCACTAGATGTATTAAAGAAGAAAAAAGGAGGGAAATACTGTGTGCTTGAAGTATGAATGAAATATCTTCTGAAAAACTCCTTTTTTTTTAATTTTTTTTCACCTGACAATGATGATGACAAAACTGTACACTTTCAGCCTTGAGAGAAGTAGGTGTATACATGAAATACAAATGAAACTTATAGCACTGAATAACAAAGGAACATGAATCGCGCATTTTTTTCAACCGTGCACGCAAAAAAGCATATATACGCGTCTGACTACCCTGCATCAGAGTGTATGAAATTCGTCTGTGCAGTTGATTTATATGTGAGCAGTACTGTATGTTGCACTAGGTACACAGGGCATAGGAAGCGGCAAAGTTTTTCATAAAAATACATTTATTGAGTATCAAGAGATTTTAAACTTCTCAGTTTATAATCTCTGGAGCATGTTTTAAATGCATTAAAATACTTTAATCTACTCTATTAATTTTCTGCCTTGTTCCCAGCCTGTCAATTGACCATAGTAAAAACTCTGTTCTCTACAACTATACAACAGTTGGCACATGCGATTGTAGACTGTGTTTTATTTCTGTGAGTAACCCTAAGGGAGAAAGCAATGCTACTTGTTTCTTTCAGATGGATCCTGCATTCCAGCCCCAAGAACTAGAGACCAGAACCATATATGGACTTCAACTTGAACAACTAAGAAATAATGCCAAGATTGATGAGAACGTCTTTAGAAACATTAAAACCAAGAGGCAAGATGTAAGTCAGAGAGAAACAAAATTACACAATCATGTACCAGTACATTCTCCTTATTTAAATAACTTAACAGTGATTGATTCTTTACATTTAATTTAAAAGTTTACTGTATTAACATACTCTAGATCTAAGGAAACCATGTGTCGGTTCATTGTTAAGCTGGTCTACCCTAAGAACTTAAGCCCCATTGTACTGAAAGAAAACATTTAGAACCTTCCTTTGACTGATCACTAAGAATAAGATCAACAGGAATCTTTAAGTTTTACCATTTCTTTTTTTAGCTGAAAAATGATGAAAAGTTGTGTTTATGTGTTAGTTACCTGAGACTGCTTTACGAGACCTAATTGTGGCCAGTATTGCCTTGAAGTACACACAGTCTAATTCAGTTTGTTATGCCAGGGATGGTCAGGTATGATGATAGGTACTTTAACTCATGCACAATTAATGAGGCAATTAACCAAGATATGACTTAAACATGGATGAAGTAGTTAAGTAAATAGACTGTGTCTCAAGATTTGTTTTGTTAAATCCAATCATAAATTTTACAATAAAAGCACCCAGTATAACCCAAAACTGTACTCCAGTTATAGGAAACATTCTTACTTTTGACAAACTGCTATAATGGGAGTATTTGTTGGCAAGTCTTTCTTCCTTCTTTCATTTAAAATTAGTCTAACTCAGACTTAATGGCCAGATTATTTAAACAAAAGTTAGCCATTAAGACAAAATTGCGTTTGAAGCCAACTTCAGTATAGCCAAACCTTTTATCTGAACATAGTCTCAATAATGTAATGCAGTCTCAAGATTCCCCAAAGCTATTAATGGCAGTATTTTTATATAACTAATAAAATCAACCCTCCTAATGAGAATCCCTAAGGCCCACTGGTAGTGTAAAACCGTGGTTTGGGTCAGGAGTTGTGTAAATAACTGGCCCGATCTGTGTGGAAATTGTCTAATGAAGCAATAGTGATGTGCTGCGCTGTGAAGAAACATGGAAACGTGTTTCTACTTGTATCACCGTTTTACAGAGCCTCTAAATGTTTCTAGAACTCACATAGTTTGGGACAGATTTTTTAATTTGAGGGTTTTGGAAAGGATCATTGGCCATGGATAGGGAGTCACCTTTGTATGAGAACTGACTTTATTTTTTTGTGCTAGTACTAATTTTGTACATTAAAATTTGGCTCTCCAAATGTGATCATACATCTTGTACAAGCCAAAAATTAAATGTTAGAGTATTCAAACTTACTTTCATTTTCAAGGCCTTCAAGGAATAAGCTGACTGGCATGCATACTTTTGAGTCTCCTCACACTGTGGCCTCCTACATTGTGTGTGGCCCCTATTCTGATATTCTGTATTTGGTAATGATTATTGTTTTAGGTTATTGGCATTGGTGCGGGACAGCAGTCTCGCATCCACTGTACCAGGTTGGCAGGAGACAAAGCAAACAACTGGTATGATTAATATACATGTACAATTATTGTCAACTAGATGACTTCAGTTCTCTTTGTTTCTCAAGGTTCTATCTGGTAAAGCTGTTCATTTTTGACACAATTGGTGTGTTTATTTCAAAAACAATAACTTTGCTATGCAGTAATGCATTGCTTATCATCAGAATAAGCACCCTAAGAAACAGCTGCTTGCAAAGAAATTACACTTGAAAGGAGATTTATTGTGTAAAAGTGTTGGCTTTTACTTTGTTTTCCATTTTTTGATTCTCTTTCTATAGGTGGCTGCGTCAACATCCAAGAGTTCTTGATATGGTTTTTAAAAAGGTGAAAATTGATGTATACTTTTCTAATTTTACATAATTTAGTATGCTTTGATGTGGAACAATGAAATGTAATCATTCACAAGAATTTACCTGCAGAGGAGAAACTAGTATTCACATTCAAAATAGGATAAATTTGTATGACATCAGTGGTAGTGTATCAATTACAGATATAAGCATATAAATGAATGACCAAGGCTTGCCATAAATTCCCTTTATCACAAGGGGAAGACAAGCTCAGATCATTCATTACTTTCTTATTGAGTTCCATGGATTGACTTTACAATAATTCCAAGTGACAGACGAGTGTTGTGATTCCAAGGAGTAATCTTGCCATTCGAAAGTTTTCGTCGAATGTGCTCAAACTTTGCGTGAAGACGCCACCATTTTGAGTCTTCTTTAGTAATCTGACCCCGTGCTCGGGGCGTAACAAAATCGTAGTCGTCATTTCCTCACCTCTAAGGGTTCTGTTTGGACTCTTATTGAGCTAGACAATTGAACTGCCTTCATAATGTTCGCTACGGTTATCATTATTTTATGTGCATGCAAATAAACCCTCTTGGCCTCGCCATGAAATTCTTAAGTGAGAATTTCGTGGTCTGTAAACACGTCGTCGGGACCAGAAAGGTTAATTTAAATGAGTGTGGACGAAAAACAATTAGGCCCGCCATTCATGAAAGAGGTTTGTAGCACTCTCACAAAGGGCTTCTAGAGCATCCTCCTCTTTTAGATGGGGGCGTCCGTTGAGTACAAGTTCAATTTGCGGAGAATATGGGAGAAAAACAGTAACTTAGGCAAGAATCTGTTTCATACAGGTTTCTCTGTGGCCTATATTATTGTACTGATTTTTCATTTCTTTGTTTTTAGGGAGTTAAAAGAGCTGAGATGTCAAATGCCATTGACGTTTATGTCAATGGTACAGTTGGGCAGGTACAAGTCTCTTCTTCACAGAAGCGATGCGAGAGTGTTTATCCTTGCTTAAGTATTACATGAAGGGTTAATCTAGATTGTATATTATGACGTCAGAACCAAGAGTTAAAGGGAACATAAAGGTAATCACGAAAGCCTGCCATTTGATTCACTTCAGCCATTCTTTCCTTGTTTTGACTCGACCCACTACAGGATACTGACAAAGAAACATGGGAAGGGATGTTTGAAACTCCACCAGCACTTCTCACTGCGGTAGGTCACAGAAAAAAAAACTTTGAAATATGGGTTGAAAACCAAGATTTTTTTCTTTGTTATTATTGTTTATTTTTTAAAACAATTTTGAACTTTTCCAGGTATTGGCAAATTTTAGACAAGACTTTTGTTAGGGTAGGGTGAAATTTTAAGAGGCTTGCAAAGACTTTTAGTCCTACCTTGTAAGGTTGCTTAAAAATTGATCGAAGATGTTGAAGACACTTATCGAAGTGGGCGACTTGATTCTCTCCTGCCTTCATCATTTGAAGCAGTTTCGCGTGAAATACGGAACCTGGAGACGAGGTTCGTTATGAGTATATAGAAATCTAGGACTGTGCATCACTGTTGACTCTGATTGATTGATATCTTCAGGCTGACAGACAAGAGTGGATTGCTACCCTTAAGGGCGTCTCCTTAAGTTCAGATGCTTTCTTTCCATTTAGGGACAACATTGATAGAGCCCACCTGGTAGGTGCTCTTATTTATTATTCTTGTTACAATCTTCTTCAACTCTGTCCCATTTCCATTTTCCAGTTCCCTGAGTCTGTTTTTATCCTTTTCAAATGAAGTGAAGTGATATGAAATGAAAGGAACTGGAACGAGACGAAATCATAAAATGAAATAAAAGCAAGAGATACCAGCAATAAAAGAACTCAGCCACCAGCGCGTTTCATGTAGAGGTTAAGATGTCGATTCCATGGCGAGAAATTCTACATGAGAACGATTTGTTATTTCATTTCCCTGAATTATCATAAATATCAATTTTTTCATTATGTAAAGGATTTTTCGATAAGAGTAGTGATGAATGAGTAAGCTAACGGGAGTCAAATGCATTTTTGAGCAACTTAAACACATGCAGTAACTCTTAAGGGATTGACGAGATATTTGGCACTTCAAATACTGCTTGAGGAGTAGCCAAGTGTTCACTTCACAGCATGTGTTTAATCGTGGACGAACCCATCTTGTGGGCATGGATATAACAATATATCATGGTCTTCAGTGCTAGAAATATTATCTTAAGAGTATTCGTGACCAAAAGAAGAATTAAGCTTTATTACTGTTTTAAATGGAATGGAATATGTGGGTTACAGCTTTTAATGACGTTCGCTTGCAGAGTGGCGTGGAATTCATAGCGAGCCCAGCAGGATCTGTAGCTGACGATATTTGCGTCAAGGCAGCTGATGAACATAACATGACAATGGCTCTCACTGATGTGAGACTCTTTCACCACTGATACTAACTGGAGAAGAGTTATTGTGACAAAGCTTGCAACTTACACTTTACCTTAAAAATGGATTATAACTGTTGAGCGTTGTTTAATTGTAAACAGTGCAACGCTTAAACTTAGCGTTAAAAAGTAAATTATCCCTTGTTCTAGTGTGTCGCTTGTTCGTGGACTTTGGCGTGTTGATTTCCTCTCAACTATATAAGCACGAGAGGATTTGTTTAATTTGTATCAGGTCATATTAAGCGAAAAGAAAAGAAATGTGTTTTAGCAAGGTAATAAAAGAAACACGATGTAGGCAGTTAAGAAGTAGTGTTCTTTGGGTTGATGAGACCGAAAAACGACTCCAAACGGACTACCGACTACTTATGTCGTGAAGATTCCGACTACATTCGCCCAGCCCGGTCTTCTACGAGGAATGAGGTTACGGGTAATCCCTTTTAACTTTATGCAACACTGTTGTTGGTTCGTTGGTTTTGGAAAATTATGACTGGTGTATATTGTTGGAAGAGCAATGAGCTCACTTCCCACCCCTACAGTCCAGGTCCGACTTTCAAACGTGAGTTTATTCGACGGTTGATCCACGTCGTTGATAAAAGGGTTTTCTTGGGCAAATTTCCACTGTTTGAAAAAGATGTGCCCATGGCAATTTACACTCCGCCCTCGGGATCCTAAAAACCCTCTTGCTCAATCCTTGTGAAAGCATCACAAGATTTAAGAGGTTAAACGAGGCGTTGGTGGCATACATTTATACACTGAGATAACACCATCTGAGTGTACTGGGATTCCGGCTATATCAACTGATGAGGTCGTCGTAGACGTAATTAGTTTTAAAGGTCGCGAAGGCTTCATTAGTTTAGAGTGTCGAAAGTAAACGAAAATCAGGATTTCCTGAATAAGGCGATGAGCAGTCCACTGTCCATTTAAGTTTTAATGGGAAAGCGGGCTGAAGCACCGTTGCTGAAGTTGAAATGTCATTCATAAACTCGCTAGCGACGAGTACAATCATTAAGTGTTAGCCGTGGTAAAATCCTCTACTTCTGGAAATCCAACCAAGGCAGTCTTTCAAAGGGGCGGTTTGTTAACGGAAAGATGGGCCGTTACTCTTGTTAATTCACACTACAAGTCACAATGTCTCTTATGACTTAGCTATGTTGATTCCATCCCTTAATTTCACAAGAATAGCGAAACTTTAGATGGGGTGACTGGTTATCTTACAATATAAAAAACCGTCACCACTGGCAAAGATGCAAACTCCAACAAAAACCAGCAAAAATGGAGTTTTCTTCATCTTAATCAAACCACAGATATACTGAACTTGCTGGTTTAACAGTAAAATTGGAGTGGAGGAAGATGTTATTCAGCGAATGACACAGGCATACTCAGGGAAAACATACTCCGAGTACTTCAGACGCTCCACCACTGAGCTATAGGAGACTCGTGGCAAGCAAAGCCGTCTAACCAAGTTCATGGTGATAAACTGCCTGCTCAGTGCGAGGATAGGTATGTCGATACTTGGCGTTTCTGCGAATTAATGACGTTTGAGAAGATGATAAATTTTAAGCCTGGTGATTAAAGTGCAGGAAGATGTTGCTCAGTGACTGACAGGCATACTCGGAGATTTACAGAAAAAAACAAAAAGAAACCGAGTGCTCCTTATAGGAGCTGAACCGCGGTGACAAACTCCCCACATACTATGAGTGACAAAGGCATACTCGGGAAAAAAAACTCTAGGTGCTCCCAGTAGGAGTGGAACCCACCACCTCTCGATGAATACTTCGGACGCTCAACCACTGAGCTTTAAAAGACTCGTGGCAAGCTTACCAGTTTTACTAGGTCCATGGTGACACATGTCCAGTATACGGCGACAATAGGGTAGTTAGAGTACGTCAGGATCCATAGGGAAAATCTTCCATGGGCATATAGGTAAAACGAACAAAAAATGCTGTTACCTGGATTTGTTAAAGTGGACTTCCTGACCTTAAGTTAAGGAAGGTGGTAAACTGTGGGAAATATTGGGGAGAAAGTCTAATAAAATAAAAAAAAAAACTTGGATACTGCTACTTTAATCAAGGGCCACAAAATAATGCGCTTGAGCTGTACAAGCTCGTTTAAACTTTGCAAGGGTTCTTCCTGAATTAAACTTAAGACAGGAATTTTCGCCTTGGAATTGCTTCATCGCTTGTGAGGGGAACAAAAGCTTATATTCTTGTGAGATGAGCCCGGACGTGGGATTATCTTCCATGCTTCAGACACGGACACTATGAGCGTGCCTGTGTTTCTAGCAACAGACTAAATGTGCGAGACCTCAATTAAAGATAGACTTCATTGACAATAGGAAGCTGGTGTATACAGCAATCGGAAAATATAGAAAGAGTTTGGTTCCCCAACTGATAACACCACTAAATCAGCAGATACTATCAGGAGTTGAATACTTTCGCTGGCCCGGTATTCAACAGCCCAGGGATACTTATTTGGCGAAAAGGAACTTCTACACAAATTGTAATTACTACCTATTGGGCATGATTTAAACTAGGATTCCAATCCACAATTAAGCATGTTTTAACATACTTTATTGACTGTTTGAATGTATATATAAAACGAGAAAAATTCCCTTTACAACAAGTTGTGAAAATAAAGCAGTTTTTGATATTCTGTTGGAAAAAAAAGGAAAACAAACAAACAAAAAAGGCAGAATACTTCAGAATTAATAACCGAGTTTTTCGTTTGGTCCTTGTCAAACTTAACTTTTTGACCATCCAAACCACACCATAATTGTCACCTATTGTGGGGTTTGATTGGCAAACCACCCATGATTAGGTTAATGGGACCTGATGGTGTTGAGTAGTCATCACCAGAATCACTTTCTTCATCATCTCCATCATCATCATCATCATCATCATCATCATCATCATCATCATCATCATCATCATCATCTGAGTCATTGCTCTCTTCGCCATCATCATCTGAATCACCACTTTTTTCATCATTACCATCTTCCTCATCACTCTCATCTTCATCCTCGCTATCTTCAGTACTAACTGCATCTAAAATGAAAATTTAAAAAAAATCTGATGTTCCCTGCATCCGCGATTGTAACATTACTTGGGAAAAAACAGGTTACACTTTACTAGTTGTAAATATTCTTCATACTCCGGTAAATAAAGTTTGTCCTGTGTTTCGTTTCCTTACTGTGAACGCTTATGCATTTGTATTTTATTTATCTCTCCACTCCACATAGTAGTAGGTTTAGTTACAAAATAAACAAGGTAATAACTACTAGGCAATTCTAATTCTGCATATTCAAATATTAGAGATAAGAGATACGTCGTGTTATCCTGTACCAGCCAGGACAGATCCAGAGACAAGAAGTCCGTTTTCCAGTTTTCTCAATCCTTCTCAAATAAACATCAAAGTTCTTTTTCGCACATTCCGTTGCCTTTAAAAGAAGAAATAGGCACCCTATCCCTTGTAAGCGCCCTGTTTCGCCCTTCCTCGAGGTACCAAAAGCAAATAGGTGCCCCGGGTACTAAATCGCATCATTACGGTGTATTGAATTGAAACTGTTTCACTCTTGGCGATGTGAAAAGTGGTCAGTATTATATACAACTAGAACAATTTACGTTGGCATTTTAGGGTTGACAGAGAAGAATAGTAATAACAAGGGTCCTGTTAAGACATTATCACTGAATCTGTACCCTAATCAGTCTCGTCCACATATGTATTTTGTTTACGGTTCAACCGCTGATCACCTACACCTCGTGGCTCCCAGTTCAAGAGTATTTCACTATCTGCAGTTCGTGACACAGAGGTATTGGCTTTAGCAACAAACCTTGTTTAATTTTTTCCACGATGACAGCGTGAAATTCACTGCATAATTTGTTATCTGGTTCCAGAAGAAGAACTGAAGAGGCATAACAAGTAAGTAGTAAAAAGAGGAAATTTTTTAAAATGTAAACAAAGGGATGTGTACACATGTATATTATATTGTAAATACTAAATACTAAAGAGGTTAGCGGTGATAAGTTATGTTTCAGCACCATTGTCAAGTTTCGATTTTTCAACAGAACGGAAAAGTACACCATCAAGTTTGTTCCAGATAGAGGCTGCAGTTGCTAAGCAATCTTGATAGCCAACATCCAAAAAATTTACTATCATTACACTCTTTAGAGCAATTTTAAATTAATTGTCGCCAGTTATAGCGTGTTGCATTAATTTTCCTTAACTTCGCTTTGTATTGAAAAACTTTCACCGCGTTTTCAACAAATCAAATGTATCCCAAACCAATTGAGGCTTGGTCAGTTGCATTTTTCCGTGCCTCAGGTGGTTAAAGTCTGTTTATTTCCCTTTGCTCATGTTGGCGATTGCGATTAGTTTTATTTTGGTTTTACATCACTAACTCCTATTGCGCTCTATCTCTCACTTTCAACCGAACTTCTTTGAAGAGGCAGCACTACAGCAGGGCTGCAGTTTGCCTCTTTTTAAACATAGCGTATCTGTGTGTAGATAATAAAGGGTGCATTTTCTTTGCCTTGCACATATCTTTTTTATACCAAAGACAAAGCTGTGCCTGTTTAAATAATATCCCATCAGCCGAAAAGAACCATGACTTACTCTTTTGGCAGAGCTCCTTGGCTTTTTCATAGTTTTCATCCATGACAGTAGTTAGGAACTGAAGCAAAAATGAAAACCTTATTAACAATTGAAGAAAAAATAATAATGTGGTATTAAAATTCACAGTACCTCTGCTTTGAGTTCATCTAAAGGTTCATTGTTTTGGATTTGATTAGCTGTTCTCTCTTTTTCCTCCTGAATTTCCTCTGATGATGATGATGATGATGAGTCACTATCAGTGTTGTCTTCATTATTGGAAACCTTGGCAGCCTGTCTTAGGGAGTTTTCCATTTCCTGTATTTGTTTGCTGTGTTTTACCTTAGCTGTAATTGAAACTATGAGTCAAGCTCTGGTGATCATGTCACTTGGACATCATTACTATCATCACTATTCTTTTCCTATCACTTTCATTATTAATAAAAACCACTCAAGTGAATAGTACTTTTTCATACCTACTGATTCACTAGTTTGGAAATGAATAGCAAGTACTATTCACCTCTGAGCAGCTGATGAAACAAAATTGCGCGTCAATAGTTTAATTTCCAACCATCTTTTGGTATATTGAAAGAAATACACTAATTGTTTGGCATCTGTGTGGTATATACTAAAAAAATTATTCACCTGTGTTAGTGAAAGAGGTGGATATCAACAACACCACTTTGCTGCTTGGTAAATATCCACCACTATTCACCTCCACTTTGCTGAGTAACTGTTAACTATGATTGTAATTATCGTGGAATCATTAATTATCAAGTTAATTGGCATTATCAATAAAGGGCAAAATTACTGAGCACTGATTGGTTGAGAGAGAGGGCATTTTTTTCTTAATCGAGGGCATTTTTAGTAATCAAGAGAGGGCATGATTACCTGTTAATGATTGGCTAATCCGTTGCATAGCAACCGTTCGTTATCTTGAAATTTTGATTTTCCTTCGTATAAATTTTGCCCTTTATTGATAAACAAGTAATCCCACAAGACCTCGTACTATTAAGGATTAATTGCACTTGAGTTTTCAAAATTTTCCAAATTGCCCTCGTTGCTTCGCGACTCGGGCAATTTTGGAAAATTTTGAAAACTCTCGTGCAATTAATCCTTAATAGTACTTGGCCTCATGTGATTACATATAGTTATCAAATGAAGTTCAAACAAAAATAAATTCTACTTATAATAAATAACATCAATGATATCCATCAAATCAAAAAAGGTTAAATGATAAAATGAATCTTCTCATAGCAAAGACATAGTCTGAGAAAGGAACAGGAAGATATTGCATACAAGAATATATACACTGATATATATACAAGCCTACCATAACCCCTGACTATTAAATACCAAAAGTATCCTACAAATAGTTACATGAAACTGAGAGGACTGAAAAACATGAAGAAAGTGGAAGTTTTCATATTTGACATATACACCCCCAAAAAAGCCAAAAACCTTGGTAGCAATCAAGTAAAAAAACTCAAGCTAGGTACTTGAAAAACCTGAAATCATGAAATCACCCAATCTTTTTTTAAACATAGAACATGATTATACCAAACCAATATGTTTTCTAGAATGATAATATCTGATAATTTCTCTTCATTTAAAGAAAAAAACATTTGAATATAATTTTGTCTTTCATCAGTCGGACTGTATAGGAGACAGCCAGACATCATAAATTAGATAAACTAAGAGAAATTGTCACATTTTAACAAGGCATAATTGTTTTTTTGTTTCGACAAAAGGCTGACACCCAAAATATTTAATTTTACATTGCATGATGAATATACATGTAGTAAGATTCCATGTTGACTATTCACATGATTTGGTTTTAGTTGATTAATTGGTGCCCATAAAATGAACAAAATGCTTTCAAAGCTACCATAGTCAAATTTTCAGCCCTTTAAAATTTTAAGGGTGACAGAGAAATGAGCTTTTATATTTGTAAAAAGAATCAGGTAAGCTATGCAAATGTGGGACCTGATGACATCAGTTAAAGTTAAAATTAGGATATGAAATGAAAAAAAGGCAATTGAAAGCAGTAAATGGATTTTAGTATCCCTTTATGCAAACTACCATGATCATAAATAACCTTTCAAGACATTTTAGATCAGATAGATAAAAATTCCATCATAACTGAGGCATTCTAAAAGCAAAATGTACTTTGAGGAGCAGCTTTTCCTTGCCTACTTGGTAAAGCCCCTGAGACCGAGGACATAACAATATTATTGATTATGGTATTTACATATTTCAAATCAGCTTCGAGCAATATTACCCAGAGAAATCATCTCAGCTCCAGCGCTATTACATCTTGTTGGAATCTCATCTGCTAATTCCTTTTTCCTTGCAAGTTGAAGGCTCCTCTCTACACGTCCTGCACTCCCAACTCTGACAGCTGTGCTGGAACTAGGCCTTGAAATACCTTGACACTCAAATTTAACAGCACCAGGCTCTACAACATTAAAGTACAAAAAGACCAATCTTGAACAGTTAAATCCAAAGGAAGGTAGGTATATTTACTTTGGGTGAAATTTGCACATTTTCTGGAAAAAAAATTGCAAAATTTTTTTTAAACTTAACAACATGGACTAAATTATTAAATCCAGACTCTTTGTGCATCACACAAAGTTCACCACTGTGTTAATAAAATGTTAGGAGATACAGTTTCATAAAGATATCTATAGTCTTTTTAGAGACTGTGCCAACTATAGCGCATCAACAGATTACCATTAAAGTATATTTTAAAGTATTATAGGATTACTTTTAACACTTCATTTATTGGCCTTAGATATTAAGATATATCATAGACACTTGAATTTGAGATTGAGCTCTTTTCTTTCCTTATGGGGATCAGCTATCTTTCACCATTTTAACTCAATAAATGGGCTGTTGAGGTGATCAGGATCCATACTAACAGACAGAAGCAACAACAGAAGGCCACTTGTTTTCATCATTGACAAAGACTGGTGCATTTGACATCCAATACCTTTAAAAATACTATGCAGCCAAGTATTTTATAATAAATTAACCTACACTCACAATGTACCTGGAGGGAGCTCAATCAAGCCTTCAGAGGTTACCTATAGATATGAAAAAAATAAATATCAAGTCAGTTTAATATACAAGCAAAACTGAGTCTCTCTTATCAAACCTTTTCACAAGATGCTGAAATAATGGTGCTGGCTATTCAGCTCTGTAACTAAACTATCTCAAGAGAGGTTTGTAACAGTAATTTACAGTGTTAAGTAATATTTGGTCAAAAGTTGTGACCATTACTTTTGGTTAGAGAGAATAATGAAAGCCTGAAACTCAATGTTGATTATGAACTTAGTATTTTCTGATGAAGACAGTGGACTACATATTGGTAGCTAAGTTCTGGTGAGTTCCTCCCTCCCTCTCCCCTTTAAGATGACAGAAGCAAACTCAAGATCCACCATTACCTTCCCCAAAGTCTTCTTAATTGTTCCAACTGGTCCACTTTGTAACATAAAATTTAAGAGATGAAAATTGCAAACAATTTTTGGTCCAAATCTTATAAATACAGCACAATCAATAAATTAAGTGATAACTGAAACTTAAGACTAACTTGTAAATACAAAGTGAATACCACCTGGAGCTACTCTTATATGAACTGGGTTAGAATTATGAAATTCAAAACCTTTTCTATAATATTAACCCTACTATTGCCTTTTGCAAGGTTAAGTAGACAATCTGTATAGAAATGTGTCTGCATTCAAGCTCCACTAACAGCCATTTTGCTCAAGCAGGTGACTTCCATGATTGATTTATTTTCTGAAAACTTAAACTAAAAAATAATAGCCAGCCTCGTATAAATTGAAGCACACAATGCACATACCTGTTTTGTTTTCTTGACAATTTAAATCAGAATATCAATTTAAGGTGTTACTATTTTTGTGAATGTTTTCTGATCATCCTTGTATATATTTCAGAGTTTCAACTGTATTTTGCAACACCAATAATAACTCTTCTCTTTAGTATTATGTGGAGTGCAAGGTTAACTGGGAGTCAGTTGCAAGGACCTCTGCAACAGCAAGCTTTAGCTAAATCCACCATTTAAATTTCAGTGATCTATCAATCTAGTTGGCAAACTTCATCGGTTTTTTAAGATTTCTATTTAATGACAGGCACTCTGAACGCATATCATGTAGAAATGAATTGCAGTATACCAACGTATCAGCCTAATAATGCATGAAATTTAACACATTGAGTGGATAAAATACCCGGGCCTCTAGATATTTTTCCTGTAAAAAAACTTCAACAAGATACTTTCAATATCCATACTAGGTTCAATTTTTTGGAATTATGTCTTTATTTGGTCGTTTTTAAATGCTACCACATTTTACAATTTGTTATCAGTTTCACCGTCAGTATGTTGGACTGAGGCAATCAATAGTGACTTGAGTTCTCTTACTAATATTGTTCGACATGGCATCGTAAAGATGTACATCAGTCAATTCAGATGCATTTTGCAATCAAAAGAGTATAGTATTGAACTAATCGCAAATTTAATCATCATGCAAACACATAAAAAAGTTGAACATCTATCAAGATCCAGAGTGTTTCCCTCATTACAAAATTACCCCCTCGATCCAGGAACATTTTAATAGCCTTACCTGGGCTCCTCATTGTCCCCTTTTTCAGCGTTCATCTTCCTTGTTTGACACTTACTCGTCAAACTGTTAGCAACGTGAGTCACTTTAGGCACCTTAAATGAAAAAAAAATGCTATTTGTAGATTCATCTCGCTTGTGAAGAAATCTAATCGCTTTCGCTGCAAAAGTAGTCCATTACTGTCATCTTCCGCCATGTAAACTTCTCGATCCCAAGCCTTTTGTGACTCACTTTGTCGCCCAATATCAGCGACCCTTTGAACGACGGGACATTGTTCAAGTATTGGCCTACGTCACGTTTAGCCGTACCCTCCCCCACTTTCCCCGCAAGGAGAAACGGGTGCCGCTGTTGTAGCGCCTGCGTATTAAGGGTACTTGAGGGACACTTTAAGTAAAAAGATACGAGAATGGCGAGCTCTCACATTTGTTCCTGTGTTGGTAATTTACGACCACGGTATAAGCGATTAGTTGATAATATATATCCAGCTGACCCACGTCAAGGCTTAGTGAAAGCAAACATGGACAAGCTAATATTTTACGCCCTTTCTTCGCCTGAAAAATTGGATAGAATTGGTTCCTATTTGGCCAAGAAATTAAACAATGACGTGGAACGTAGAAGGTTGGGGTTCGTTTTTATCACCGTGGAAGCCCTTGATCAGCTTCTATTGGCTTGTCATGCCCCTAATTTAAACTTATTCGTAGAAAGTTTTCTGAAAATGGTACAGAAACTACTTGAGAGCCCAGAGGCCCAACTACAAGTTCTTGGTAGCACCTCCTTCGTAAAGTTTGCAAATATTGAGGAAGACACCCCATCCTATCATCGACGCTACGATTTTTTCGTCTCTAAATTTAGTTCGATGTGCTGGTTTAGCTCTGGAAATGAACGAGATTGCTTCAGGATTCGTTTGGCTGGGTTAAAGGGATTACAAGGCGTTGTACGGAAAACTGTGTCGGATGACCTTCAAGCCAACATCATGGATGATACTCATATGACTAAGATTGTTCCGTCTTTGTTGTTCGTGATGGAAGAGAGCAGTAAGGGCAAAAGTTCAAGTGAGCAACAGTTTCAGGCCTCCACCACTGAAGAGGATCCAGCTTCTTTAGCAGAATCATGCCTCAGAGAATTAATTAACAGAGCAAGTTATGGAAATATTAAATCAATTGTGAATCCAGTGTTAACTCACTTTGATAAGAGCGAGCTTTGGGTACCCAATGAGTTTGCACTCAAAGTTTTCAAGATCATTTTGTACTCAGTACAAAATCAATTTAACTACATCGTCATTGAGAATCTTCTGTCACATCTGGATAATCACATTAGAGACAAGGCAAAAGTGAAAGCCAGTATTGTGCAAGTTTTAGCAGCTTGTGTTAAAATTGCAAGCAACAGTTCCATAGGTCCAGCAGTGCTGGAAGTTTTCAACACCCTTCTTCGTCACTTACGGTCCTCTGTTGACTCTCACAGCGATGGTGATGATGATGATGATGAGAGAGAATTTGAAGAGTCTTTGGTCAGTACTGTTGGAGCATTTGCTGCAGTCCTGCCTGACTTTCAGAAAACTGATATAATGATGTTCATAATGGGAAAATTTCCCTTGCCAGATAGAAGACATGAAAGTAAGCAGTATGTCAAAAGAGAAAATCACAAGCATGCCAATATTGCAGAAGGGGATAGTGCGCTGCAGAAAATGCTTCTCCAATGTCTTCTTAGTGTTGCACAGAGCTTCAACTCCATCTCCCTGGCAACTACCTTTTCTCCAACATTTCTGGAATCTCTACTTCAAGCAACCATTGTTGAAGACCCAACTGTGAGAAGACTGGCTCATGAGATTCTTTACACACTGTTTGATCGTCATGAAAACATTCACAAACTTGGTGCAAATGGCATCCTGAAAAGAAGCAAGAAGATTGACTTAACCACTGAACAGTGCTCAAAACAGGAACTCCTTTTCTTCAGAAAGAACAAGGATGAAATACTGTGGTATTTGTTTGAAAGTGCCTGCATGCTTTCAAATTCAGTAGATAATATTCTAGCCATCTATTTAACCATGGGTGTTATTACTACAGAGGTTGCAGATGACCTTGAACTGATTTCCAGTGTGGTACAGATGACATTTGGATTGCAGAAAGTTGCATTAGATGATGACTTGGTGTTACCAAGTATGATACGTTGTGCACTTCATGCACTTGTGGCAGGTTATCTCAGTGTGGTTGCTCAGCTGACAGGAAATCAGGTTCTCAAAGATTATATTTCACTCATCATCCATCTGAGAGAGAAGGAAGCTGACTTTTTGACTCCAGAAAGAGCTTTGAAACCTGCAGCCAATTCCCATGTGATTTCAGCCAACAGCATTCCTAAACATCTTCTGTTTGATATTTCAAACATTACAGAGGCTTTTCCTGTGATGGCAGATAATGGTAGATTACTGAAGACACCGTACAAACACCAACCCCTAAAAGGGGTTTTAAATGATCAGTTTGAAAATGAATCGGTGGTATCCAATATCAACAGTGAACTTGATGCAAACCCTCCTGGAATTCAACCATTAACACCAAAGGAGAGGATAACATTTCAAATGCTGAAAGATGTTGTGTCAGAAAAATCATCAAGAGTTGTAAAGGAGAGAGGTAAAGATGCCAATTATTTTGTTTCAAGTTTTAGTGAAATTGCTGATGATGCAAGTACCAGAACACTAGAATTCAATTCCAAAGTACTAACTGTACTGGATTCACTTAGCACTCCACTTCAAAGTAGAGCTCTTAGTATATCAACACAGAGCTTGTCTTCAAATCCTGTTGAAGAAAGCTATATTATGAAGTTTCCTGGACAGTATGTGTATTAATGAAATACAACAATACCAACAAATGAATTATTTTATTTAGTTAAAGGATCCATACATTAATTGCCTAATTATATCAATTGTTAAATGATTTTTCATAACATTGAATTTCTAATTAAGAGAAAAATTGTAATTGAAAGTGATTTAAAGGTTATAGGTATTTAATGAGGTAATTTGTCAGATTTTCTTTTTATTATTAAAGGATTTATCAGGATGACTAAATTTACAGGGTTGGTTATCAGTGCTTGAAGTAAACAAGTAGTATTTTTTCGGTGAACACTATAATATGATAACTCAATTGTTTGTATGTATACCTTTTTAAAATTTTGATCAGATTTAACTGGGTGTTATTGGTCTCTTTTCCTTCTTTGTGAATGGAGAAGAATGCTGCAAAACTTAGTTATTATCTTTCTCAGCCTTTAAAACAATAGGAAGAAATTTACCAGCATTCCAAGATTCTTAAGAATAAACAAAAAGGTCAAAGTCTGATTTCAAATGTACTCAAAATTTGACAATGAATGCAACAAATAAAAAGGAGAAACATCATTGTGACTTGGCCTGAACTATAATGCATATGTCACAAAAAGCTGCTGTTCTGGTTAATGCTAAAACTTGTCATTTGAGTCAAGAATGCCTTTTTACAAAGATTCCAGTCATTCATTCCCCAAACAGATCACAAAGGATCTCAAAATTTTTAATGGTAGCATCCACATGGAATGTAGGCACATTTGAGTGCAATTTGATAAAGTTAGGTTTCCTTTTGCACATCACAGAAATCAGTTACTGTCATAAATTCACAAATACTTTTAATTGATGGATATTAAAACTACATGGTGTCTAAAACATTCTTCTTCCTTCATGTAGGACTGCCCCTAATTTTTTAGCTTTCTGAATATCTCATAGATTTCCTTGAATTTTTCACAAATTTTCTTGTGAATGCTTGTTTGATTCAAATAATTATGACTCCTCCAAACTAGGGCATGGTTAACTACTTGTACAATTTTTCAAATGTTATTTTGAAAAATGAACTGGATGTTTGACTCACATTGCAGTAAGCTTTGGTGGTTAAAATTTCAAACTTTTATTTTTAAAAGTGGTTACCTAAAATGAAAACTTCCTCTCCATCTACCAATGTAATTTTTGAGGTATGTTCATTGGTACCTTTTGAATGGCATACTTTACACTTGCAGTGAGTCTTTATAGGGGTATTTCATAATTTACTACAGCCTTTTGACTGAAGGGCTAAAGGTTTTAGGAAGTAACCTTGGTGGAGATGGAAAAGAAATCATTCCAGTCTGTGATTATCCACAAGGTAAAGAAAAGTGTGAGCTTGGCTACATTAAACATTAAAATTAAGCTATTGTTAATGGTTAAATGCACAATGATGAAAATCTGATTTGGATCAGCTCTTAAGTGTAGATGTTAGACAGTATCTGTTGTGGTTTAATACACAATGGTTCAAATTGTGTTTCCCTTATGGGGTGTAGTAGTATGTGATGGTGGGTTCAGAACTGAACAAGGATAGAACTTGAAGGAATACAAATTAATTGTGCAAATCAGCTTTATATGTCTAAGTAAAGAACATTTATAAACAAAATGGTGCCGAGTTTCATCAAAGAAAAGTGCCCTCTAAAGAGAAATTGTCTTCTAGTATGAAAACCTGGTTCCTAAAGAATTGTCTTTGGCTATTAAATTTCTGAAGATTTTGATTGGCCCAATTTTGATTAAAGAAGTATTAAAGGGAAAGAGACTGGACTCACTACAAACACTCACTGATTCAGTGTTGGATGAGCAAGTTATCTCACTGAACGAGGCTTTAAAGGTTTAAAGTTGACTTTGCATCTAGCCAGGAAAGTACTTACTGGTCTATCTCATACTGACTGTGTTATGATTGTGATAATCTCTAGTAGGAACAGCATATGCAGCAGAGGATTATTGTCTTATCCGTGAACAGCACTTTTAAGGGTTGATATGTCGTAAAGGTATGCATGGATTAGATTCGGAAAATGAGCGCAATTGATGTACAGCTGAAATAAGGTAAACATGCTGTGTGGCAAAAGCGAAGCAAAATACGGCCTTCCAAAGTTTTGATAACGCTACAGCCCGCCTTGGTAGTGAATTAAATGCAACGGAACGTTCACAACAAGAACCTCCTTGGCAATCCTCCTCTTTTTTTTCAGCCAAACGGGAGAAACCCAAGCGAAGCGGGAGTCGGGTTTGGCTAGCTCTTATTAATGGTTAATTTTCATTGGCTCTCGAATTACCCCATCCCATATCGAGGTTGCAGCTCTGAAATCAGTCATGTCAAATTAAAGAGTTCTATTGCTTCATCACCCAAATTTAGCTGTAAGTAAGAGCTGTGGCAAATAATTAGATTGGGGTATTTTATTAAGAGCACCATTTGTTTTTTCTATATGCGACGCCTGTGTGTGAAGTGATTTCACAAATCATTTGTGTGAAAAGAAGACATTGGACAGCTCCCTAACGAAAGCTAAATCTCATCAGTAGCCCTGTAAAGGAATAAACTAGTTGAGAGCATAAGTCGGAGTAAGGTAAAAAGTATTGGGGGATTCGACGCATTGAATATGAATTAAAACAGTCAAACTTGCATACTGCTCACGGAAGGAGAGACTCATCAATAAAAGATAAGATGATACGCTCGCGGGCCTTATTTGTGAAATATTTAAAGAATCATTCAAATGCTATTAGTGTACCATTTCCTCTGCGTAACCTGTTTTCCAGCATAGCTCCCATCTCTCTCTCAACATAACACTCAAGCTTCAAATTGGATTTAAATTCTGGTTGATTAGGTTAAGGTTCCTAGTTAGTTTATACGTGAGGCAAACTAGATCAAGTCAGCAAAGCTTCAAACTGACTTGAAGTTATCTCATCGCCA